CCCCCAAAAAAAAAAAAGTTTTACATTTTTTAAAAAAATTAATCTTCCAATCGCCCTTTTCCCCATATTGGAGGGCACCCCTCACGCTGGGAGACACTGTGTTAGTGTAACAAGCTCTCAACTTAAAGAACACACACATTTGGAAGAAAGCATCAGAGGCGTAGCGAGGGGGGCAGTGGGGACAAATGTCCCCTGGCGCCAGCTAGTTAGGGGCGCCAAAATGTGCATTGATATTATTTTATTGATGAAAATAATGGGTTTGAGAATTTAAAAAAAAAGAAAAAGGGGCGCTTTAAAATGGATCTTGTCCCCGGGCGCGAATCTTGTCCCCGGCCAAAAACCCTCGCTACGCCTCTGGAAAGCATTATCTAACACGAAACTAATGGGCCAGTTATTTGCTAAACATTCGCAGGGTGACCAAACACTGACCATCTTTTTGTCAATCAGCATCATGTGTTGAAGTAAAATCTAATTTTCTCAGAAAAGAGACACTTTTCACAAGTAGCAAAAGGAGTTATAGTCCGGCGGTTCTCGACCTGTTGGTCGCCACCTCTTNTTAAGAAAAGTCTTTTGTTTGCGTCTCGTTACAGCCAGTTAAGAAAAGTCTTTTGTTTGCGTCTCGTTACAGCCAGTTAAGAAAAGTCTTTTGTTTGCGTCTCGTTACAGCCAGTTAAGAAAAGTCTTTTGTTTGCGTCTCGTTACAGCCAGTTAAGAAAAGTCTTTTGTTTGCGTCTCGTTACAGCCAGTTAAGAAAAGTCTTTTGTTTGCGTCTCGTTACAGCCAGTTAAGAAAAGTCTTTTGTTTGCGTCTCGTTACAGCCAGTTAAGAAAAGTCTTTTGTTTGCGTCTCGTTACAGCCAGTTAAGAAAAGTCTTTTGTTTGCGTCTCGTTACAGCCAGTTAAGAAAAGTCTTTTGTTTGCGTCTCGTTACAGCCAGTTAAGAAAAGTCTTTTGTTTGCGTCTCGTTACAGCCAGTTAAGAAAAGTCTTTTGTTTGCGTCTCGTTACAGCCAGTTAAGAAAAGTCTTTTGTTTGCGTCTCGTTACAGCCAGTTAAGAAAAGTCTTTTGTTTGCGTCTCGTTACAGCCAGTTAAGAAAAGTCTTTTGTTTGCGTCTCGTTACAGCCAGTTAAGAAAAGTCTTTTGTTTGCGTCTCGTTACAGCCAGTTAAGAAAAGTCTTTTGTTTGCGTCTCGTTACAGCCAGTTAAGAAAAGTCTTTTGTTTGCGTCTCGTTACAGCCAGTTAAGAAAAGTCTTTTGTTTGCGTCTCGTTACAGCCAGTTAAGAAAAGTCTTTTGTTTGCGTCTCGTTACAGCCAGTTAAGAAAAGTCTTTTGTTTGCGTCTCGTTACAGCCAGTTAAGAAAAGTCTTTTGTTTGCGTCTCGTTACAGCCAGTTAAGAAAAGTCTTTTGTTTGCGTCTCGTTACAGCCAGTTAAGAAAAGTCTTTTGTTTGCGTCTCGTTACAGCCAGTTAAGAAAAGTCTTTTGTTTGCGTCTCGTTACAGCCAGTTAAGAAAAGTCTTTTGTTTGCGTCTCGTTACAGCCAGTTAAGAAAAGTCTTTTGTTTGCGTCTCGTTACAGCCAGTTAGAAAAAGTCTTTTGTTTGCGTCTCGTCACAGCCAGATAGAATAAAGTCTTTTGTTTGCGTCTCGTTACAGCCAGTTAGAAAAAGTCTTTTGTTTGCGTCTCGTCACAGCCAGATAGAATAAAGTCTTACGTTTGCGTCTTGTTACAGCCACTTAGAAAAAGTCTTTAGTTTGCGTCTTGTTACAGCCACTTAGAAAAATTCGCAGAAAAATTTGACGCGAGATCCAGAATCCAGTTCAATCTTTAAAGTTAATTTGCAAAATAAACTTTACATTTTTTAATCCTTCGCCTGAGGAAATTGGTTCGTGACTCAGAGTAGCTATTCTTTTTTTTTTTGATGTCAGGGGTGTTCGTTGACTTTGTCCTCTCCCCCCCTCTCCCCACTTCCCACACCCCACTCAAGAACCTCACAAAACAAACAGAATACATATAAAAAATTGAGCCTTAAATAATTGATGAAACTGGGGCCAAATCACTTAATTAATTTTCCTTCGTGCACTGCTTATTAAAGTTTGCATGAAAAAAATGATTTGTCTAAAAAATGTGCAAAATGTATTGACGTCATACAAGATATATATACTATATATATATATATATATATATACAAGATGCAATTGACGTCATACAATATTTATTGACGTCATGCCGATAAGGAGGTTAAAATCTCATTTTCGGAACTGGACAATGAATATTCTTTTAGAATTAAGAACCTTCATCCTGTGTTATTGCAGACGTGTGTAGTATGCCCAGGTACAAGGTCGGGACACGGATCAAATATGCCCACCAATGAGTAGGACTTCCCAGGTACAAGGTCAGGACACTGACCATCTATGGTAGGATACCTTCATCAATGAGTAGGACTTACCAGGTATAAGGTCGGGACAATGACCACCTATAGCAGGGTACCTTCAACAATGAATAGGACTTCCGAGATGCAAGGTCAGAACTCTGGCCACTGGCTACCTTTCCCAATGAGTGGGACTTCCCAGGTACAAGGTCGGGACTCCGACCACTTGCTACCCTCGCCAATGAGTAGGACTATCGGAATGCATGCGATACTGTCAGCAATTGATTTTTTTTTTTAAATAATAATTTTTTTTTGGAGGGGGTGGATGGAGATGGGGAGGGGGACGGGTGATTCGAGACGTGATATGTCAGTATAGTGTTCCATTTAATTTGCAGTAGAACAAAATTAACCAATTGCGTCAAGACACAGATTTCGCTTTTTTTTTTTTTTTTTTTTTTTTTTAAATATTTTTTTTTTTTTGGTGGGGGTGGATGGAGATGGGGGGGGGGGGGGGTGATTCGAGGGGGGATATGTCAGTATAGTGTTCCATTTAATTTTTTTTTGAAAAAAATTAACCAATTTCGTAAAAACAAAAATTTCCCTTTTTTTTTTTTTTTTTTTTTTTGGAGTCTATANCGATGGTTGCAGTCGTTCACCTTGTATTTGTCTCCGACATGGAATTCACTTTCTCTTTCTCTCACTCCTGACCCGCTGAGTTCTCCCTTTGTTAGTCCCGCGTCACCTAGAGATTCCTTCCTAGGGCTTCCTACATCTCAGGTACACAAATTTTCCCTCCGTCTAAATGGTCATAAACCAGCACCGTAACGGTCGTCCCGGTGCAATCTGATACGTTGGAACCTTGGGTCAGTTGGTCGGTTACTGTGCTGTGGGATCCCACCCAACACCCCTGTATCACACCCCTGTACCACCCAGGTCTGGACTCTCCACAATATATATATATATATTATATATTTGTTTATAATATATGCATAAATGGAATAATAATTTATTTGTTTTTCCTCTGACGCCTCAGATCGGTGTTTCATAGACGTACTCATGACGCCATGACAAACGTCACGTCACATGACCTTTTCGCCAGCGACGTGCAACGCGGCGAGGCGATTGCCGAGGGTCTCATCCTGGGTGTCGTCTGCGTCGTCTCCGTGCTGGCCAACGTGTCCCTCTGGCTCATCGTCCTGACCACTCGCCAGCTGAGGAACGAGTCCAACATCTTGATACTGTGTCTCTCGCTGGCCGACCTCTTGGTGTCCGCGGTCAGCATGCCTATAACTGTGGCGACGATCGGTTCTTCCAGGTGGCCGTTCACCAGGTAATTTATAAAATTTAATTAAAAAAAATAAATAAATAAATCATATTAAATATTGATTTATTATTTTTTAATTTTTGTTGGTGTTTCTTTCCCACACCTGGGTATTTCCAGGGATAACAACACACGAAAAAAGGATAACACACTTAAGGGGTAACGAAAAATAGATAACACTGAAGGGATAAAGGTAAGAATAACAATAGATAGCTCTTTACTAGTGAAAATGGCATACGTATTTAAGGCATTCATCTCGGGACTATTCAAACTACGTAGCATGTATAGCACATGCCCACTGTGCCTGTGTCTCACATGCCCACTGTGCCTGTGTCTCAGATGCCCACTGTGTCTGTGTCTCACATGCCCACTGTGCCTGTGTCTCAGATTCCCACTGTGACTGTCTCACATACCCACTGTGCCTGTGTCTCAGATGCCCACTGTGCCTGTGTCTCAGATGCCCACTGTGACTGTCTCACATGCCCACTGTCCCTCTGTCTCACATGCCCCCTGTGCTTGTGTCTCAGATTCCCACTGTGATTGCCTCACATGACCACTGTGCCTGTGTCTCAGATGCCCACTGTTCCTGTGTCTCAGATTCCCACTGTGCATGTGCCTCACATGCCCACTGTGCCTGTGTCTCACATGCCCACTGTGCCTGTGTCTCACATGCCCACTGTGCCTGTGTCTCACATGCCCACTGTGCCTGTGTCTCACATGCCCACTGTGCCTGTGTCTCACATGCCCACTGTGTCTGTGTCTCAGATTCCCACTGTGCCTGTGTCTCACATTCCCACTGTGTCTGTGTCTCAGATGCCCACTGTGCCTGTGTCTCACATGCCCACTGTGCCTGTGTCTCACATGCCCACTGTGTCTGTGTCTCAGATTCCCACTGTGCCTGTGTCTCACATTCCCACTGTGTCTGTGTCTCAGATGCCCACTGTGCCTGTGTCTCACATGCCCACTGTGCCTGTGTCTCAGATTCCCACTGTGTCTGTATTATTTATTTACTTTTTTTTAAATGTCAACAGTGTCGCCTCTTCAATCTATGATACCAGTTTCATTTAGTCTCCCGCATCACAAGATGACAATCAGAGAAACTCTACTTTTAAACAATTGATATCATAAACCTTTACAGTTGGATACATGCCAATAACTTTTAGATTTCATACAGTCACACTTCAAATTTATCGTTTTTAATAAATGCCCAGGGAGACTTGCGTTGCTATTGGTTACATCAACATGCTGACGTTCACTGCATCAGTCCAGTCCTTAGCAGTCATCAGTGTGAACCGCTACGTCAAGATATGTCGGCCATCTTGGTTTGTGGATATCTATACGTTTAGGAACGTCTTCTTCATGTGTATGGGTGAGTAGCAATAGTAAGAATGAAGGATAACATATACATAAAACTTTGGAAAAGCAAATCATGTGAATTTTAACCAAAGAAGTTTATTCAACGTTTTGTCCATACCTCCCCATCTTCCTTCCCCCCCCCCACCCCCCACCCATGAAAAAAACATTCTTTAAAAAAAAAAAGAAAAAAAAAAATTAAATTCGAAAATTTTTTAAAAACAATTTTTGATGTAATAACTTTACGTTAATTGAGGCAGTTCCAATTTTTCTTAAGTAGAAATCTTTGTATTTGAAATGTGTTTTTCTTTTTAAATTAACTTCCTAAGATATGCAAATAACTAACCCCCCCTCCCCCACACACACACACACCTATATTTTGTGTCCTTGTCTTCACATCCAGGCGTCTGGATTTTTTCTGGGCTACTGTCAGTTCCACCGCTCATGGGCTGGGCCGCTTACTCCTACCTGCCCACTGCCTCCGTCTGCTTCTGTGACTGGTCCGTGTCATTCAGTTACGCCTTGTTCATGATCTTCATCTGCTTCTGTGTGCCTTGTCTCGTGATGTGCCTCTGCAACGTCGGCATCCTCAGGGCGTACTTCCAGAGTAGGAAAGCTCTGCTCGCCTTCGGCGATAAGCGTCCGTACGGCGGTAGTTCGGGACCTTCTGAGAGCGGTGCCCCGAGTTGGGTTGAACCATCAAAACAAACCCCAAGTGTGTACGCACCATCAAAACAAGTGCCAATTGTGTACGCACCATCAAAACAAACGCCAATTGTGTACGCATCATCAAAACAAGTTCCAATTGTGTACGCACCATCAAAACAAACGCCAATTGTGTACGCACTATCAAAACAAACGCCAATTATGTACGCACCATCAAAACTAACGCCAAGTGTGTACGAACTGGCACAACAAAAGCCTACTGTGTACCATTACCAACCATACAAACAAGTTTTGGGCCTGCCAAATAATTTCGAGCCACTGAATTTGAAAAATGTCCCATCAAACTGTAAAGGGAATACACCACGGCATGAAGCGGTGGGTGTTGGTTTAAATCCCAATGATCAATGGATGTCCGTTCTAGGCAGCGATACTTCGAAAGGTGCCAGGAATAAAACACCTGTCATTAAAATACATCAAAAAAGAGATAATGAATGCAATAAGATATTCTCAATGAATAATCAGAATGATAAAATAATTAATAACTGCGAAGTAAATGAAAAAGAGATATTTCTTGTACCGGTAGGTGAAAATAAATGTAGAAGAGATGTGTATGTGTGTTCTGTATCGTCTAGCAGTATTGAAAATTTCCCATCAACAGACGACAAGGCGCGGGATTTTGTATCAAAAACAAACACACGCGTGGATAGTAAAAATGTGTGTGCACCCTTGGGAATGCCTGCACATTTCAATAGTGCAATTTCAAAAGAAATGTCGTTGGCTGAATTCACTGTGTCAGATGATTGGGAGACACGTGCCATGGCAATCAATACTGGACAATCAGATGAAAATAGCTATACTGGAACTGCGCATCCTTTTAATGCTTTATCTAACAGCGTTGCCGGTAGCAACTACCAAACCTTAATAAACTGCACCCATAATGCCTCCCTTCCGTTACACTTGGCAGTCCCCGAGAACATGACCGGTTCAACTTCGAAATGTATGGCTTCTGTGTCCGGACTTGATGAAAAGACAACAGCGTTAGTCCGGGCGGGCCATTCGCCTACAGTTGCGGGGCGGGTCACATACGCTTCCGGCATCCGAGAAAAACGGAAGTCTGGGATTCGAATTGATGACAGAACTGTACGGTCGCCGCCGAGTGGATGTCTTTTTAATCACAGTAGCAGGAAAACAAGAGCAATTGAATGCGAAAGGGCACGCGCGTCAGCTTACATGGGCGCAAGGAAATCGAAGACAGTTCATTTTGAGTCGAGGTTGAAGGCTGGTTTGAAGTTGTTCACGATTTTTGAAACTCCTGAGCCAGTTAACGCGATGACGTCAAACGAATACGGACCTCGTGTGGATTCCAGGGATCAACTTGGAATGAATTTGTATGAAAAAGTCAAGGTTGCAAAGAAAGCCGGTGATGAAAAGTTCACTTTGAAGTCTGGAAAAGGCGTTCGATCAATTAAATCAATGAATAATCGAGGTTTGGGAAAAGAATCGATGCCAAAAGGCCTTCGCGGCTATTTTAATAGAAGAGTATCGCCTGATGGGAGGATTCGCTGGGTGAGGAATCGTATCAACAGATTTACAACGAACAGGATTTGTCCAACTGGGAACAAGAATTTGGGCACAGAATTAACGAACACAAATGATTATCTAGAACCGTGCGCCGCAAGTATTGAAAGACTTGCCAACCACTCGCATAACATTGCGCCAAGGGTAAATAAAGTTTGTTCTAAAAGTAGTTCATCAGGCAAACTTCTCGGTGGTGAACATCACTCTGATACATTTAACTCTAAGGATGACTCAATGAAACATCATTCTAGTGGTCCTCAAAAATTTAAGCGCGTCGCCTGCTCAAATTTAGACTCAAAATCGAGCGATAACTTACTGTGTCTGGAATTAACAATCCACAATGGGGAGGGTGAAATAAGAACATCACCACTACCGCGTCGGCCTGCGCCCAGCATCCAGTCAAACACGACACGCGGGCAAGATACGCCATCAGCAGACAAGAGATCGCCTTCACGTATAGCTGCGCCAGTGGCGGTAACACTAGCGACTTCTGACCTTCGAGAAGCGTGCATCCTACCGTCTCTGGCAGTGGACGCGGGTATTTGCGCGACTTCTTCAGACTCATCATCTGCAACCCATCATCGGATACCGATCCCCGGACCTCGCGGTGACCTCGCCGTCCACCCGAACGTCCGCGAGACACCTCACCCCCGAAAGATCCCGCCAGTCGCCGGCCGGAACTCTCGGAGCGGCTCTGAACGTCGCAGGAGGGAAGAGTTCCAGCTCTCGGCCAGTCTTCTCGTGGTCATCGTCATTTTCGTCATCTCCTGGTTTCCTTACTGCGTCTCCATGTTCGTGTCCGTCTTCTCCCCGGAGCTGTCGTCTCGCCGCCTCGACGTGACGTCGCTGTTCCTCGGCTACTCCAACAGCTGCGTCAACCCCATCGTCTACGGCGTGATGAACAAGAAGTTCCGATCGGCCTACAGGGGCATCTTCTCGTCTTTTCTGAGGCCGCTCAAGACCCGAGGGGGCTTCATGTTGAATGGCGCCAATAACCAGCCCCGGCTCAGCCGGAACGTCGTCTCTGTCATAGCGGCTTAGTCAAACTGACGCCGCAATAGGTCTCGTATTGTTTTCGTTAAACGCAGGGAGTAAAAGGGGGAAAAAAAAAGAGAACAAATAAACAGATGGTTCTATACCGGTGATTCTCAACCTTCCTAATCCCGCGGCCCTGTAATACAGTTCCTCATGTTGTGGTGACCCCCCCCCCCAACATAACATTATTTTCTTTGCTCCTTCATAAATATGTGTTTTCCGATGGTCTTAGGCGACCCCTGTGTAAGGATCGTTCGACCCCCAAAAGGGTCGAGACCAACAGGTTGGGAACCGCTGTTCTAGACGAACATCCAAACGGGTGACTTTCAATATATGCTCAACGAATGCCAAAGAGTGAAAGTATTTAACATGCATTAACATGTAAATACATAGTACCCTGCTAGATCTAAGGTAGTAAGGGTCGTTCGCAAATTATGTCACGCAAAAAATGACCTTTTTAGACCCCCATCCCCCTGTCACAAAGTGCCACAAATTATCGACCCCCTCCCCCCCCCTGAGCGTGACGTAATTTGCGAACGAGCCCTTAAGAAACCTACTGTACGTTGTGGACCAGTTAAAAATGACCTTTTTAGCCCCCCACCCCCCCGTCACAAAGTGCCACAAATTATCGCCCCCCCCCCCCCCCCCCCCTGAGCGTGACGTAATTTGCGAACGAGCCCTTAAGAAACCTACTGTACGTTGTGGACCAGTTTTGTTTTATAAAATACAAACTGTATTTACTATTGGCTCCTGCAACCCTTTCATTTTTTTAAAAAATATTACTAGTATTATTAATATTATTATTATTATTTATGGCTTCCTTGCTATTGTTTTTAACTCCTCTGCCGTAAATAAATAGAGGGTTTATTTTTCTCGGGCAGATATTGGCTTCCCAGAGACGGCGATGAAATGTTTGTTGGTGAACAAATTGGAAACCATTTCTCTAAATTAAATTTGGACACACACTTTATGTGTGTTCAATACTATTTTTTTTTAGAAATATATTAAAACGCAGTCAGTAGGCCTACTGTAAATATATTTTTATCACATCAATATTTTACACAGATATTTTCCCCGAAATCATTCATTATCTAATCCCATCAAAATTTGACCTCACTTTATCATATTTTTTTTTTTAATGTCCTTTCAAATTATTTTCATGTCACGTGTTGTTTTTCTGTTGTTTTTTGTTGTTTTTTTTTGTGTTTGTTTAAACATCTCTTGTTGTTTAGTCCAACCTTCAATGTATTACCGAGTGGACTGCTTGCTGAGATTTTCTTTAATAAAAACATTCACAATGGCAGAAAATTGTCAAAAACTATTCCATAATGTGTTGTTGTTTATTGAGCGTCTTTTGTGTTGAATTTTGAACCGATAGCAAATCGGCCCATGCTCCGCTCGGAGTTTAAAGAAGGAAAAAGAAATTAAGATGTAGAAGAATGGTAAGATGACCAATGAGGAAGTATTTTTTTGGTCATCTTTGTGTCGTTAAGGAATGAAATGTGGATTGATTGTGTTGGGGGGGGGGGGGTGGTGAATAAAGCATAAGAATAAGACTTCTGCTTTTAACAATCGATGATATTTCCAGCAACTCATGACGTTTCCAGCGACGACAGGTGACATTTGCAGATACCGATGATATTTCCAGCAAACGATGTCATTTCAAGGTACTGATGACATTTCCAGCAAACGATGTCATTTCAAGGTACTGATGACATTTCCAGCAAACGATGTCATTTCAAGGTACTGGTGACATTTCCAGCAAACGATGTCATTTCAAGGTACTGGTAACATTTCCAGCAAACGATGTCATTTCAAGGTACTGATGACATTTGCAGCTACCGATGACGTTTCTAGACGACGCCGAGATTTGAAGCTCTTGGTGGCACGCTTCGTTCCCGGTGACGCAACAACACGCAATGACATTCGTTGGTCTGCTGGACATTCCAACCACTCGGTGGTGTTCACACCATCTGTGTGAGACTACATCGCCGTCTGTGTGAGGCGACGTCGCCGTCTGTGGGAGACTACATTGCCCGTCTGTGTGAGACTACATCGCCGTCTGTGTGAGACTACGTTGCCGTCTGTGGGAGACTACATTGCCGTCTGTGTGAGACTACAGTGCCGCCTGTGTGAGACTACATTGCCGTCTGAGTGAGACTACATTGCCGTCTGTGTGAGACTACAGTGCCGCCTGTGTGAGACTCCTTGGCCATGGTAATTTCTTGCCCCGTCCTTATTCAAGGACATCAACAAACACACTTGTACATGCGTTCCGATGAACTTTTTTGTTTTTGTTTAAATCCAATTATCTGGAAATAATATTAAAAAAAGGAAACTGTTTTTATTTTTTAAAATCAGGAAGCCAAATTGCAAGGATTATAAATAGATGATAGATATAAACGGGCCAATGTTCTATCGGTAATTAGACTGTACTTGATTCACTCGGTGCTCTTTCCTCCGCTTTACTGTCTCTGTAACGCAAGAACTCATCGTAATAGGATGGCGTTTTTGTTGTGTTCTCTTTTTTTTCTCTATCACTCATCATTTATTTACGAACCACTTTTGAAAGAGAATAAAAGCTTCTCTAAACATGTTCATGAACGATTTGACTTTAACGGTTTTAGACTAATTAGAGAATTATTATTAGTGTGTGTTTATCCTTGGCGCAAGTGTACTGATGACGCGAAAGATTAAGTCTAGAATTATAATCAATTGACGTCAGTTAAAGACTCTGATATATTAAAAAAAAACATCATATGAAATCTGCAGAGCTTTATTTTAAATTATAAAATTATAGTTAAGGTTAAAAATTTCAAGCACAGCCTGGTGGCACCTGAGCCAAGCAAAAGCTGTGCCCAGGGATAACCCGAATTAAGGCGCCCTCTTCACCCCCCCCCCCCCCCCNCCCCCCCCCGAAAAAAAAGTATTTATTATTAATAAACTTATTTTGAATGAAAAATGAACTTCTGGGCGACCACTGAATATGATGCCCCCCCCCCCCCTTTACATCTCCTCTCCATCGAAATGCCGTGGTATGCCCACCAGAAATCACTGATTAGTTCAGGAAATCAATGGCTTCAGTGTTTGGCAAATAAAACCATCATTTTATAACCTTATTAAATCTGATTGAATGACTCGAGACACAACTACAGCAAGATTTGACATGTAGGGGACATTTTGCTGATAATGATTGAATATTTTTTTACGCTGCGACTATTTGCACACGGTACCAGAAGTGAGAGGTTGGGATTAAAAAACGATTAAAAATATTATTGTTGGGTTTGTAAGACAAAATGAGGTATCAAATCAAAGATAATTTAATGGAGTTCATTACCCATCAGTTTGTAAACTTACTTCTTCAGTTTAACTAAAATAAACTACCAGAATCAACCACAGTCTCAACAGCTTCTTATTTGTGTGTTTTTGTTTTTTATGGTAGCTGGTGCATCCGCCAAGCTCTCTTTTTTTTTTTAAAGATACAAATATTTTCTTTTCATGTGCTTACTTTAGATATTTGAGCGCCTCTGCTTTCTAGAGAGCTATTGGGGACCCTGCTACCACTAGCCTCAGTAGCTTCGAGGTAGATTTTGTTAGTTAAAATTTTCTATAACTGGTGATTGCTGTAGTGCGGTATTGACCAAGTACTACGTTAGAAAGTATTGAATTGGTCGTCAATGTCAGTCAATACAATATAAAAAAATTTAAAATGACATCATTAACAAATTTAAATCACTCTTCTACTCTTCTCTGAGTCTTAGTCTTAGCGTGAGTACATACAATCAAATTCCTTTACTTTAGTTTCAATGTTCAAATTTGATTCAAATTTTTGTATAAGGATGAGCAGACTATTTTGTGTGTGGTTTTTTTTTTTTGGGGGGGGGGGGGGGATGTTGAACTTATTTAGATGTTCCATTATTTTAATTAGGCCTATTTTATAGAAATAGAAGCCCAAATTCTTTTTTTTCTTATATGGGGTGTAGGCCTATAAATATGAATATTATAATTCAATGCAAGGGCTCCTGCATGGGCATGGGTCAATGGAACAAGATCAAACTTAGTACTATAGTACACATACACTTGATTATCCATATTATTCAGATTCAAAAACCGGTACTGATGGGTAATGAACTCATAATTTTACTATTTCTTAAACTAGCCAATATAATATACATGTGGTCGCTCGTGATGTCATTCGGAAACGAACATCTTTAAAAGCCTTTAACTTTTAGCTAACATCTAAATTATGGGGCCTGTAAAAAAAAACGGAGGGGGGGGGGGCGGCTTCAAACTGGAAAAACTGGATTTTTTTTCTTGGCTGATGTAGATTACCATCTTAGACTCAGTACTTAGTAGTCTTAGACTTGGAGTCTTAAGTCTTCTTTAAGTATGTATGTGAAATTGTTACTTTTTGCAAAAATTTACGTTTGCAAAAATATACTTTTTGTCTCATAAATTCACACCAAATTGGGTTTTCCAGACATAATTAATACACAATGTTTGTATATGGCTTATGTTTTCATTGTATTCTTTGCCCTTAAAAACATTCATAAATTATTCTGCATATGTATAGCATTAAAAACTAAATAGTGAAGGTAGCCTAATAGACCATAGTGAATCCTAGACTAGACTTTAATTTAAAATTAGTTTGTTTTATAAATGAACAATTTACCCAAGGAAATTTTTAATTGCACATAAAAATATATATACCTTTATTAGTTAACGAGTGCTTAGTTGTGTAAATAATACTCAGAAGGCCTATCTCCCACCAGTCAGTAAATGGGGGGAGGGGGGGGGGGGGGGGTTTGTTCAAGTGACCATGTTCCTAAACAGAGATTGGCCAAAACTTCTGTTGTCATCTGCTGAATCATGTTATTATACCGTTTCATTTAACTAAAGAAACAAGATTTTTTTTAATATGCACACTATGTATGCAGTAAACCTACTACTATTATTAATGATAGACATAGACATATTTAGGCCTATATTTTAATTAATAATTTTAATCATATTAAGAAGTACACACAAAATTTTTACAATAAAATTATTTCTCAGCCTCAGCTGGATTTTATTTTTCTGACGTGCACATATTACTTTGGCAAAAAAAAAAAATGGGTATAATTTTTTCAGACTACAATCCCCTTCCCGCCAGTATCATACATCTATCTATATTAGGTCTATATGATAGATTATAATTATATAGCGATATAGCCAAATCTAAGCATGAGGAAGGCTGCATATGACAGTGTTAAAACAGTAACAATAGACACTTTCTTACTGGTGATTTGAAACTAAAATTCTTTCAGGATTCATTATCGAGCAGATATATTGTCACTAGTATGAACTAGCAATAAATTAACGGGGCAATACTTTGCCGGTGTGATTGAAAGCAGGTCTTTAAAGTTCCATTTTTATTTGATTTGATTTGCTGTACTACCAATAGCTCTCTAGTAAATTAAAAAAAATAAACTTAATAAAGCATAGGGCCAAGCCTGTAGATTAACAGCAAATCTTATATTGGGTATTTATTCCCCTAGCTCATCATTTAAATTATTATAGACCTAGAACTTATGCATAACAGTATGATGAGTATGAGTGTCTAAAACATCGACATCGAAGTTCTTGGGCCAACTGACTGACCGCCGCCGCAACAAAGAAATGCCAATACCCTACCAAAGTTAAGTCGTAAACTTTTATTCTGAAAGAAACCAATAACTTGATTATTTTGTTTTGTAGAAAAGTTATTTTTGATAAACTGTATAAAATGGCATAACTTAGTAAAGAAGATAGAACTAACTTAGTAACTATCGAAATAGATAATATTGTGGGGGGGTTTTTTCTGAGGGAGTTTGATCAGACTGATCAGAATTATAAATTACCCCAAAAAAAAGTAAATTGAATAGTTTATTTAGAATTTCAGACTACTGTTGTAACATTTTCAGTAAATTTACCAATTTATTTAGCATATCTCTGATTGTAAAACTCTTTTATTTATCATCAGTTCCCCCAAAATCCATGGATTTTCATTTAAATTCAAATCAAAGGAATATTTTCAACAACTAATCTTCTTTAAATGGAATTGGTTTTTAAAAAGTTTAAAAATTGTTTGCAAAAACTTAGGAAGTGTGTTTCCAATGCCTCTTATAATATAGCAAATTAAATTGGGTGGGCAGAGTCATGGCCTTGAGTATTTTCAAAATTATACTAAGTCATCAGCAATGAATCTAACATCATTGCAATATAAATCTGGCCTAATGATAACAATTTAAAAATATTGCACCTACCATAGCATCTTTTTTTTTTATTCTTAACTGTTACTGGAGAAACTGAGGCTGGGTGGAAAAAAAAAATTGCTAGTTTACTGTATCTTCATCTTTTTTTTTATATATATATGAATCAGTGAATTATAAAACTGATAATTGTGTGAGCAGGCAATTGGGGGTGTGCTGAAATATTTTACAGCCATAACCTAAAGTAACTGAAGTTGATTATCCTACTCTAATAAATATTGCAATTTTTTTCCTTTGTCAGGCTCTGTAAAGTTCATGTTTTGCCCTTGTGATAAAAGCAGGGATCATGATGTCTGAAACCTATTCCAGCTCTGCCCACCCAAAATACAGCTATACACACCCTTCATACAGCTCTGCCCACCCTTCATACAGAGAGATGATTTCTGCAGCTGTTAAAGCTTACAAGAGACCTAGTGGCGCCTCACGTCAGGAGATTCTCAAATACATCACTTCCTACTACAATCTCGGAGAAAAACTCACATCGGTAAGATACCAGCTGAAGCTTGCTCTAAAAGCTGGCGTCAAAGATGGAAGCCTCAAACAGACAAAGGGTACAGGAGCCAACGGGTCTTTCCGTCTTGGTAAGATGGCGCAACAAAACAACAAGGCCAAGACAGTCCAAGCAACAAAGCCAACGGCTGCTAAAAATTTGCTAGTGCCGTCCAAGACATTGGATGATCATCAAAAAATATTACCACAGCCGGTGAGGCCAGTGGCCCTTTGCTTTGTTAAATCACAAGAGTTTGACTTTAAAGGAGCAGATCTTCAAAGTATAAATTTACAAAAGAATTCTCCAGCGGATGCCCCCATTCACAAGGGGAATTTACCGGATAACGTTGTGATACATAATGTATCCATAAAAAGTGTTATTAATTCGCCAAAGACTTTTACAGCACCCGATGCCCCCATTCAAAAGGGGGATTTACCAGATAACGGTGTGATACATAATGTATCCATTAAAAGTGTTAATTCGCCAAAGACTTTTATTACAGCACCGTATGCCCCCATTCAAAAGGGGGATTTACCAGAGAATGTTGTGAAACATAATTTATCCATTGAAAATGTGAATTCACCAAAGACTTTCACAACACCGGATGCCTTGCAAGACAATGAACCACCTGACAATGAAAACGCAGAGGTTTCTAAAAGAAATGTCGAGTCGCAGCCAAAGACCCTTCCCTCGCAAAAACCTCGCTATTTAAAGAGAAAACAAAAGGTAGCCTCCAAACCTTTGATCAAAACGACACATCCAATCATCCCGGAATCCTCAGCTACTCGTAGAAATTGTAAACTTTGTTATTCCAAATGGCGCAAGGCGAGAAAATGTCGTACCAGATGTTACACGTGTGAAACTTATTTATGCTTTTTTACGTACCGAAACTGTCTACTTGAATTTCATAAAAAATAAAATAGTGTTTAACGGTGCAGTATTTGTGTTCTACTTATCTGTTCCTCATATGCAATGTCTTGTACAATAAAATAGGAGAAAGAACAAATGCTTTTGATGCTTCTTTGAGTTTCTGGCCAGAAATTATGTATATTTATCATAATTTATGCACAAATTCTGCAGTAATTCATTTTGACGCTCTCAATCTGTGATTCAATCTAATTCTTTTCGAAATGCCATACACCATTCAGTTTACAAGGGCAACTTTTTGGCCTGGCAACAATACACTTTAGTCTGCCGTACACAATTCAGTTTACAAGGGCAACTTTTTGGCCTGGCAACAATACACTTCAGTCTGCTTTACACCTTTCAGTTTACAAGGGCAACTTTTTGGCCTGGCAACAAAACACTTTAATCTGCCTTACACCTTTCTGTTTACAAGGGTCTGAAAGACTTAAGTGGAACAGGCTAAGATTTTTATTAGGAAAAAACACACACACAACTCAGCTAATACTTTGTTTATGCAGCAGGTTGTCTACCGTACGCTTGACGCATACCAGGTAGTGTACTGTACGTTTGACGCATACCAGGTAGTGTACTGTACACTTGATGCATACCAGGTAGTGTACCTACGCTTGACACATACCAGGTAGTGTACCGTATGCTTAACGCATACCAGGTAGTGTACCGTACGCTTGACGCATACCAGGTAGTGTACTGTACGCTTGATGCATACCAGGTAGTGTACCGTTCGCTTGATGCATAACATGTAGTAGTTTACTGTACTTTTGTAGGCTCAACACATAACAGGTAGTGCTCTGTACTCTTGACGCATACCAGGTAGTGTACTGTAAGCTCAACACACCAGGTAAGGGCCGGTACATAAAGTACGTCACGCTCCAGAGGTGGGGGGGGCCGAGATTTGTGACAGGAGGGAGGGTGGGGGGTTAAAATGGTCAAAAATAGTGTGACATACTTTATGGATGGACCCTAATGTACTATTTAATCCCAAGCGAGAATAAAACCACGATCCTAATGAGCCGTCTCTTTAAAACTTCCATGCTGATATTTAGTCTTTGACTATAATAAACATTTGTTAAGACTTTTAAAAAATTAAGAAAAATTTTTTTTAAAATTTGGTTCTGTGACATTTTGAACTTGGCCTTTTCTAGCGATTTTTCACCTTTGACATGGTTTTCCACTCACACTGCATTGATCCCATTCTCTAGTGTAAAACGCCATATGTATTCAATTAATATTAGCACGATGTAGATTAAAAAGGCGAATTTATTATATTTCAATTTCACAGGAGAAGCTACTTTAATTACATGTATTTATTACTGACACTGAGTTATCCCAATGTTCCTTAGTGGCTTATTTTGTGGTCTAAGTCCAAGTGTTTTTGTTGAATTTTTGCAAATTATTTTAAATAAAAAGAAACATTTTGGAAGCTCATGATGGTCCCTCGAGACAATTTGATTAGTAATGTAACAATCTTCTTTTTATGCTATAATTAATTTTTATTGTTTTGAGTTGGGTATTTTGTTTGGTATAAAAATTTTCAATGTAGTCTTATAGAGTGTAGTATATTTGATAGAGCAAACTTTAAATTTATTCTGAGCTATGAATTTTTTAAAGTACGACCTATTATTATAATTTGTCCTTTTTTTTAACATGGACCACATCTCCACATTATGGCTTATATATTGACAGAAAACTTAGAATGATTCCCCATATCAGATTTGTGGTCAGGGCATGCTGCTGTCATCTACGCGCCATGGCGCCCATGGGTCAGCTGCGTCCTAAACTCATTAAGAGAACAGCCAATGCTGTAGCAGTAACTCTAATCCAGTCAAGATTAGTTTACTGTAACAGTTGTTTGTGGGGTTTACCTCAGAACCTAACTGCAAAACATATTTTAGCATAATAAAAGCAATTTAGAAAATTCTAAGGTTTCAAAAAATAATAAAGATGTATTTCAAAACACTGCCCTGTGATCTTTATCTTCTTTCAACATTATTTTTGTAAATAAATGTAGTAGTATTTTTGGGTGGCCTCTATAGGAATAAAGTTTCTTCCAGAAGGCAGTTGAAATTGATGTGAAGACGTCAACACAGAGCATGAGTTGAAGTGGAGTCTTGTCTCAATGTTTTCAAGTTAATCAACATGTCAAGTTAACCATCATGTCAAGTTAACCATCATGGTTAGTGGCATCAATTATTTTCTTTTTACTAACTATTGAACCATGCCAGGTTTTGATTGGTTGAGTGTGCTGTTCATAGGTATATTGTTGGGTGCTTAAATTTAGCCAATAAAAAGGATTATCAACTATTTATATTTTAATGCTAAAATTAAAAAGTTTCAGAAAATTATCCGAATGACTTTTGGAATGTCAAAATGTATTTAAAGTTGTTAATTTATTATTTTCATTAATTAAAAATGCTATATTCCTGATCATATGATTTGAGTGGGTTTTTTTTTCATTCTAAATATTTTTGTAACAAAAAAAATATAATAAAAAAAAAAATTAAATACCTGTATCCATTTTACCAAATCATTAACTCAACTTTATGGGAAAAAATTATTAGGACAAAATTAAAACATAATTTGGTAGCAACAACACCACACTAACTGCCAATTAGCTTGACCAAACATTTAACAACTTTTCAAATATAGAAATTATTTTCAAGAAACACATTTTCAAAAACATATCTTTTTGTTTTGTCTTCTAACAGTTATTCCTAGAAGGCAATGGAATGCTACATGTTAGCAGATGTTAGTGTCTGAAGTGAGCTCTCGGCTTGGTCAGCAGTTATCTATATCTGAAGTGAGCTCTTGGCTTGGTCAGCAGTTATCTATATCTGAAGTGGGATTTTTGCTTGGTAATGTACAATAATGGGTAATGTTAGGTCAGTTTTGATAATACCAAATTTTTATAACTTGTAAATTTTAATATAATATTTAAATAGAAACTATATATATACCGTATATGGTTTTTTTTTTTATAAAATTTATTTATATCTTCAAATGTCCTTTTTTGAAATTGTTTTCTATTTCTAGATTCAACGATAGATGACACAATTAACAACTACGGGCAGCTACAATAATGGATGACCCATCAACAACCACTGTCTTAGATCCAATAGATCAACAACTACTGTGAGATCAAATGGATAAATGACTCTTCACCGTCTGATGTGAGCTTCAATTTTTAATTCTAATTCTCCACAGTTTAAAAGAGTTACTGTATATACTCGCATACAAGCCAAATTTAGAACTATAAAATACAATACTGAAATCAGGGGGCAGCTTATATGCGCATAAAACAAAATGGACACAAGGACAGACACTAATGCCAATTTTCCAGCCATACATTTTCATCGCTATCTGACTTTATTTGGTTGTGTGTACAGAGTACTAATATATATACAGAGGTGTCACTTCAAAGAATTTAATGTATGCATAGCTGATAATTATCCTAGGTATGAATATTACCATGGAGAATTCATTTTTGAAGTCAAAAATGGCATAAAATTAAGAAAAAATACTTTTAAAAAGAGAAAATGTTTCCTATATCTATGGTTTCCAAAGTAATCCTCTATACGCATATGTATAGAATAAAGTGAGATTGACACGACCGCGTGGTTGTGTGTGCACCAGGGGCGAGCCATAACCAAGCTAGAGCTAGTGGTGAACCCGACGCCATCGGTACACGATCTGATTTCTTAGAAATAACACGCTCAAACGAAGGTGGTTGTAAGGGAATCCCCTAAAATCACATGCAAAGGCACACATTTCTATGAACCAAAAATATGAAGCAAAATTAGACAATTGCATTGTCGGCTTATATGGGGTTTTTTTTCTTCAAAAACTGGCCATTTTAAAGCAGTATAGGCGGTCGGCTTATATGCGATGTAGGCTTATATTCGAGTATATACAGTATATACATTTTAAAAAATTTTTTAAATTTACTTTAAAAAAACCAAATATTATGTAAAAGGTAAAAATTATTCCTGCATGATAAAAACTTTAACATTTTAACATATATTTATTGTGAAACCACATCATATCTGTATCTTAATGTTTGACTTTATCCCTATTTTTCTAGGTTTGAGAATTTCTGAAAAACTCCAACATGATGTCACTTTACCTTTAGATGTTGCTGTGCTGTGTGGAATATTTTCTCATCTTTCTTCTGTTATTTTATGAGCACAAATCTCAAGTAAACAGCCTAATAATATACTATACAATTTACTCAATAACCCAAATTTCTTATTTTACTTAACTGGTTCAGTAACTCCTGATTTGGCAGTCATTTATTTGTCGTAATGAATGTTAACCAAATAAAAAAATGCAAGATATTGTTTCAATTAATTGTAAGACATAAAGAGGTACAAAATAATATAATATAATAAATTGTTTATGGTGTAAATATACTTAAACTTACACATTCAATTTTTACCATTGTTATACTTTTTTGAAAGTTCAGTATTTCAACATTAGTGATTTAAATAGAATACTCCTCTCATTTTAGGGTAGTTGAAACAAATTCTCAGTTAGCATTTTAAAAAGTAAAACAATTATTTATAATTAACCTCAATTTAACAAATGTATTTAGGGAGCCAATGTCGGTTTTGATTTATAGTTTCTTATATTATCAGTTGTTATTGGGATTTAGAACAATTGGCATTCGCAAATAACAGTTTTCAAATGTATCTCTTGAATGATTGACATGAATGATATAATAAAATATTTAGTTTACTAATCAGTTTGTTTTGGTTTGTTTTTATTTCCTTTGTTCTCAATTGTTGTGGTATGTTGGAACAATCAAAACTTTGTTGATCTTATGGGAAAATAAGGCTCTGCATTTTTTTCATTTGTTTTATTAACTTTTGCTGGTATGAATTAAAATTATTTTATTTTTTACATTAGATTTGTGTGCTTTCAATAACTTTAAACTCTGCATTTATTTATCAATCAAAGTTGTGTGTTTGAGAATAAATTAAGAAGAAAAAAAATAGAAAGGAACATTAGGTTTGTGAATTATTCACAATATATTATATATATGAATATATATAAAGATCCCTGATAAGATCCTACTGAGCAGTGGTTCTCCTCCAATATCATGCAGTTTAAAGTAAGTTTCAAGTCAGTGGTAATTTTTTGTAAATTATTGTATGACATAATCCATTTCATAAAAATCAGTTTTTGGTGACTTCAATAAATCATTCATGGAAAATTTTCTAATGCAGTAAGGAGTGTATGAAGCTCATTCCTGCTACCAAGTCCAGCTGTGAAAAATAACATCTTGGATAAAGAGATAAACCTTGACATACAACATTAACTCGGTTTAATTTTGGCTTATTACTTATAAATACAGTTGAGCAACTAATATTAGCTATCTTTGAGCATATGAGAGAGATATGAAATGAATTTTTGAAGAAGAGCTTGAATAAATGGCCCTAAAGTTTTAATAAATTCTTAAAATTAATGTCATGATATAAGAAGATTTAAAAGAAATTAATAATTCGGAATCCAATTGTTACTGTCATTTAAAGTTAAAAAGGTATTATATACAAATGATCAGCTAGTAGAATAAAAACTAAAATATAATGCATAAAATGTCTAGATTTTTTTTTTAAATTCAAAAGGGGTTAATTAAAATAAAATTGTTGTAAATTTGCGCACTCAACCATTGATTAAATTCGCTTTTCATTTAAAATCTATAAATGTATGCGTATGTTAATTTTTTTAAAATATGGTCTAAGGGAAGTAACCAAAAAAACAGAATATTTGAAGTAAATTTTTTTACGGTCTAAGGGAAATAACCTAGCATAGAAAAATTCACTATAAAAAATTTACACAGATTTAAATGGGAAATAACTGTTACAAATCTTAGGATTTTAAAAATAAATACACGATAGCCTCCCTTTGACCGTAAAATTTGCAATCGTAATCTTAAAGACAAATAAAAAAATTAAATTAACGTCAGCTTCCCTTTTACCGTAAATGTTGAAAAAGCTGATTCCTGCTTTCATTTTTTAATAGTGGATTGTTCTGAACACTTAGTTTTATTTCATTTTTGCAAAAATATTGGTTTTAACCTATTAATGCTTAAAAGCTGCATAAATTGTTTTGAACAAGACCAAGTTCATGTCATGAAACGTTTTCATTCTAAATCAGTGACCTTATTGTCATTGCAACTTTGTGAAGTTGAAAACCAGGGGAAAGAAAAAAGGCATGGAAAAAGAAAGATAACACAATAGTATATTTAATTAAGTTTATATGCAATATCATTTAGAGAGGCATATGCAATTAACATATTCTGATTACATTTTAATGATTAGTTACATGTTTTAAACGACAAATACATATATTAGCACAGAAATATGTTTTTGTTTCTTTCATATTAGCAATTAAAATTTGTATATGTAAATGTTGAAACACCTATCCCAATTGTCCACCTTTTTAACATAAGTTAAAAATTTTCGGGGATGGTGGTCGGGGTGGATGGAAAAATAAGGGCAAAAAACAATATCCAAAAAAAGCAGGCCAGAATTCCATCACACTTAAATAAAACGCACAATTGCGACACAGGGGAAAGAAGATCCCCGATAGAAAGAAGAAACTAACGAAATCCCAACCAAGAAAAGAACAAATGATGATCGAAAAAGGGGAGACAACCGAACAAAGGGAAGCAACCCAAACCCCAACAAACACAACGTGTGTCCAATAAGAACAAAGCAAAAGTTTTATCTTTTAAAATAAGCTTTATTATGTTCCATTTTACAATTAAATTGTTAAGTAAAGCAGTAACCCCATTATTTCCCTTGTACAGTTATGAGACAAGCTTACCCTGCATTTGTCTCAAATTAATCATAAATGAACACAAACTCCAAAGTACAATGTAATGCCTGCTGCGAAAATCATGGTTGTCTTATTCAATGGCTGCTACTGCTAGAAGAAAGAGGCTGTCAAACCAAATACAAATTTTAAAGTGACTAAATATTAAATTAAGAAATATTTAAAATATATCAAATAAATAGGCCTCCATGAGATGAGAAAGTGAACACAACACAAAGAAAATGGAGTGTGACCAAGCAGGCATGTCTGGAAATTTGTTCGAAAGAAAAAAAGTATCTGGAAATTTTATCGAAAGAAATTTCGTAGACGGAAAACTGATCAACAGAGATGTGATCGAACGGAGATTTGGTCAAATCTTTTTTTCTAATGTCTTTTTTAACGCATTATTTGTTTTAATATATAGTATAGGGCGTTCAAAAAAGAAATTTGACGAAAATTTTAAAAAAAAGATTCGACCAAATTTCCTTTCTATCAAATTACCAGTAACCCCAAGCAGGGAATGAAATGAACACAGAATATGTGCAAGACATAATGAGCATGTACTAGTGATGCATTGATGGTGGCCCATTAGAAAATATGGTTTGCTTTTCCACCACTGGCTACAATTAATACAAAGAAACCAAATCAATTTGTACACTTAGCTAAGTTAAACACCTGCATGTTAAATGGAATAAATCACAAAAGATGTTAAATGGAATAAATCACATAACATGTAAATGGAATATGTCACATAACGTGTTAAATGGAATAAATGACATAACATGTTAAACAAAATAAATCACATAACATGTAAAAGTAATAAATCACATAACATGTAAATGGAATACATCACATGCAATCAAACATAGTAATGTGGTACATACACATGCAATTTTTAATTGCCATATGTATCTGAGGTAACAATTTATCTAATACAAAGTGTTTATAAAAAAATTAAAAAACTAAAAATGTACATATTTTGAAATTTCATTCAAATCAGAAATTTATACATACATAAAAATGTATTGAATAAAAGCCATTAAAGAGAAAAGGAGGAAGTTTGCATTGTATTCAATTTTTTCTGCACATTTAAAATCATTAAAAAAAAAACATTTTTTTCTACATATATAAACACATTACATAATATAAACTATTTCTTCTACACCTAAAATATCCTAAAAACAAAATTTTCTACACATATAATATCTTAAAAACTACTTTTTCTGCACATATAGCATCATAAAAACTATTTTTTCTATACATATAACATCAGAAAATTAAATTTGATTTTGCAATAAACATTCTTCACTCTTCCCAATATGAATGACAGGCCAAATATTTTTAACAAATAATAGAATACTAGTATTCAATAGTATTTGTATGAATAAAAACATTCAACCCTTTTTCATGTAAACCAGTGTTAAGTTACATTCACAACCTGGTGTGTTAACAGAAAGTAAAAAATGTGAACAGATTCCTATGAGTGCAAAAGGTCAACAACAGGTTTGTAGTGCAAGTGTCCACCCACACCCCTGATCCACTGTTGGCAATTCATGACAAGTTTCAATTTATTTTAAATCTGAATTTGGGAATGTCTGTTTTGTACACCTGAATTTTATTTAATAGTTAAAACACAGTTTATAAGTACAGGGTACTTTGTTTATGATTATACATCAAAAACAGGTCATAATAATAAAGACTCAAGTGTAGAGCATAATCACTGAACAGCCCCTCAAAGAGTGTAAGTGCCTAGGAAGTGAGGTCACAAGAGGTGACAATTGTGACAGTGACATTGTCTTGATGACACTCTATCCTGGAAGACCACTATCACATTAAAATGGAAGCTAGAAACCAAATGCCTGTAAAGCTCTCATAGAATATTCTGACCAAATACGATGCAATAACGTAATGAAATTCCAATCAAGAGTAACAAACACTATGGTAAAAAATGCATGAATTAAAATACCGAAACTGTTTTTTTTTTTGTTTTTTGTGTGTGTGTGTAGAATACCACCAAGCTCACTTCCCAGGACAGCACTAAGATGGACAGAATATGGAACACAAAACTACGCCATACCCAAAAAGAGCTGGTACGATATAAAAGAGAGGTAGCTGTGGAGAAGAAAGCTAACCCTTTACAAGGCTTCCTAAGAGGCAGTCAATCGACAAAAGTAGCATCTCTTGACCAGTAAATGTTTGTCATTCAAGTCAATAAGAGCCATCTTATCAGACTGGCAGAGGGGATTAATTGTATAGGCTGTATACTTACTCTGCAGTTATGAAAAGTCATGTGATATGCAAGTGAGCATTACAACTTTTAAAACATTAGGACAATTTATTACATTAACAATTTGTGCTGGCGGTTCTCAGCCTTTTATCACAGTGACCCTTTGATACCATTTGCAAAGTTGTTGCAGCCCACATTCATTTTTTTAAAATAAAAGATTAACATTTTTTAAAAACCACTCAAATTTCTGGTGGTTTTTTTTTACACGTCCCACTAAGGTGTCAGGACCTACAAGTTGAGAACCACTGATTTTGTGTAATAATCATACTTATATATAAATATCACTGTCAAATGTAATGAATGGAATTATTTGGTTTCAATGAGTTCCTAATCTTGACTCCAAGATGTACTTAGTCCTTCAGAATCCAGTGAGTCCCTCCAATGATCATGTATTTAGTACCGCAGAATTCAACGAGTCCATCTGATGATAATGTACTTGATCTTTCTGATTTAGACATTCTGCAGGTTTTAAAAAAAAAAATTACAATTTTAGATCAGAGTATAAAATACAGTAACATGTTTTTAATCTGTTTATAACTTAATTTTGACTATTTATTTTACTATTCTATAAGTATAAGCAGCACAGCAAAAGTTATAGGGTAAACAATTTTGTTTTAAATTGAAGCCTACATCACACATAAACAATTTTTTGATAGAGCATTAATGTTTAAATTTTCACATTTTATATTCACTTTAAGCCTTGGAGCTTACAGCAGCTGGTGAGTTATTTTATCTCTTGATAACAATAGTTGGTGCTGGTTGATCTGTTGTTGTAGCTCACAGTGGCTGATGCTGGGGGATCCAGTTGGGTAGGATTTAAGTTTATTCTATAGTTGAACCTAGAAAACAATTTAAAAGCAATTAACATTTCAGGATATTAATAAAGATTTGTAAAAACTATATAAAATATATGTAACATTGTATATTTAAATATGTTAGAAATTTAAGATGAACTAACATTGTACATTCTTGTCCATGATCAAGATCAGAGTCTACTTGAGACAAGATTCCACTTCAGACAAGAGTTCACTTGTAAGCAACCTAAAAGTATAGGCTTGACTTGTAAGCATAGCTTCCACTTGCATTTACTATTAGATATAAAATAAATGATGATACTTAAAAAACATATTTTTGACAAGAATTTTTATATTTGAAAAGCTGTTAAAATATTTGGTTGTACTCATTGGCAGTTTGGGTGGTGGGCTTCCTCCAAAATAAAGTTGAGTTAATGAATGATTTGGCCAAATAGATAGCGGTCCCCCCCCCCCAACCCCCCCATAAAGTTAAGTTAATGATTTGGCCAAAAGAGGTCATTGACTAGTACTTTTTTTTTTTAGTTACTAAAAATATTCATGAAACTAATCAAATAACCCCCCCATAAAGTTAAGGTAATGATTTGGCCAAAAGAGGTCATTGACTAGTACTTTTTTTTTTTAGTTACTAAAAATATTCATGAAACTAATCAAATGATAAAAAATTACAGTATTTATTAAGTTTCATATTTGTTAAATGAAAAATTGAATTTAAAATTAAATAATATTTAATGAAAAATAAAAGATTATATTATAAACAATTAATAGATCATACATTTTATTAAATGTATTAGACCGACAAATAGAGCTACATATGAGGTAAAGAAACAACCATGTTTAAGATAGCTACCTTGTGAGCCAACAAGGCCTGGACCTCCTGATTGGCTGTCACATCAAGAAATTTCTCGTACAGCTGTTGTTGCTGTTCATTCTCCAACACAAGGGAGCTACTGTCGACCTTCTCCATCTTTAATTTCTCCAGTGAGAGTTGAGTCTTGTCTCGGACCTGCAAGATAAACCAACAACGATGAGGGGTGTAGACTGTTATAATTAAATATGTAGTGAAATCTTAATACAAGTGATAAAGTTATAAACAGTTTTTGTGAGAGATATCAACAGTCTGACATACAACAAATTTGTTGAAATAAAACTGGCTATTTTAAGATCTATGCTGATGATGGGCTCTGGAGGTTTGTGTAAATATCTTGTTTTTAAAGAAGGTAAATAAAATATTTTATGAAAACATTTTTTGACCAACATTTACTTACCAGTATTGATTGTGTATTAGTTTATATAAACTTGTATACAGACCTGTTTTCCCTATGCTGTGGCCATAATATCTACATTTTTAAGCCTAAGACTAAAGTACTACAAGGAACCAAAAAAAAAAAAAAGGTTTCTGAAGTTTTTTCACTTGTTTGGTTTATTTTTAATAAAAATATACCAAATTTTTTGTTTTTATATAAACTTGTATACAGACCTGTTTTCCCTATGCTGTGGCCATAATATCTACATTTTTAAGCCTAAGACTAAAGTACTACAAGGAACCAAAAAAAAAAAAAAAGGTTTCTGAAGTTTTTTCACTTGTTTGGTTTATTTTTAATAAAAATATACCAAATTTTTTGTATTAACGCTGTAAGCAATCGAATAAGAATAACAGTGATTGGCCTTTGCTGTCTCAGTGAACAAAAGAGAATATTTTTCTGTTAGAGGTGATTTTTTCTTTTTGTGGTACCCGGTAGCTAAATACATGTTCTAGAATCCCACATTGCTAAACTTTTTCAGGAATTTGAAAATCAAGGCAAAACATTGTAAAATCTTTTTAATGAAGTAGACAGATGAAAATTTTTCACTATTGCTAGGAAATTTAATAAATATATTCCTTTACACACCTTTTTTGATTAATTTTATTCTTGTATTCTCTGCTTCAATATTGTTTTTAAGTTTACACATTCATATTTATTTTCATATTACCAACAAAAATAAAATTAAAAAAATAACTGTTGTGTTGCAATATTCATGTATTTTAGCTCAGCTATGTCAACCAGGTCTGTGCAGTCAGTGTCTTTTGGGATTGCCAAAGACCTTTTCTCATGCTTTAGAAAATAATCTGAGGACCATATCCTGAATATTTATTTTTTTTAACTTACATAAGCAGTTGAATGGATTTCCTGACACAACTTATATTTTGATTGTTAACTAACCATAATTTTATTTGACCATTAATTACTACTCATTATTGTGAGATGGTAGAACTAAAAATTCATATTATTTAAGTTTAATCTTGTATTCTGACCCAGTTAAATATAAATTTTGGGTGGAACAAAAGGAGCAAATTAGAACAAAAACAGGCCTCAATTAGAGCGATGGTCAACTAAAGGCAGAATTTGATAGATATTTTGTTTTGATGACACGGGATGACATGACGACAAGCTAAATGTGACAGCTGTAATAATACACATCATATCATATCATTTATATATATAAAAGTGAATGTTTGTGGGCTTGTTCCATATATGTTTTTACATGGATCAATGGATCTTGACTAAACTTGGCACATATATTCAGCATTATCTGGAAGGAACTCTTAAGGGCTTATGAACTTTTTATAACATTCCGTTTGGGGCAGAGAGCCCCAAATTCGTTTCTTTCTTATATAAGCCATATAAATAAAATTAACAACAAATACTCCTACACGAAATGATGGATCTTGACCAAACTTAGTACACATACACTTGATTATCCATAAACAAATACCGAAGGGTACTGAACTCATAATATCCATTCCCCTGGGGCCCCATTTCCTTTTTCCTTATATTAGCTCTATAAATACCATTAGGCTTAATACTCCTACATGAATAGATGGATCTTGACCAAACTTAGTACACAGACACTTGATTATCCATATTCAAATAGCAAAGTGTACTGAACTCATAATATCCATCCTTCTGGGGCATTTTATTTTTCCCTATGTAAGCTATATAAATATCAATAGGCTTAGACAACACTATAGGTCCTATGTGACTTGATTGATGTAGGCCTAGCATGGAAGCAATACACTTCTTTGTCTGTATTGAAATATCGGTGGATTTAAAACTAAGAATATCCAATCTAGAATTTTCTAGAAAGTTCGATAACTTTAATTGAGTCGTCAGCAGAGGCAATAATATCATTTTGTTCCTCAGGATCTTTAGCCATGAACCTTGGTTGTGAGGCCGGCTCTTGCCTGGGGTCAGGATCATGAGTATGTCCACCGTTATCCACATAATCGTCAATAAAGTTGTCTTCACTTACATTAATAGAAAATATATTAAAATTTTTATAGGGATTCTCACAGTGAATGCTGGCAATGCCATAATATATTTCTTCCCCTTGACTCTCGTCATCGTCACTGTCACTATAATAATATGCCTGTTGTGGTTAGAGAAGAGCGATGGCGGATGTGCTACATTGACTGTTGTGAATTGAATACGGCTAAGTGTTGTGCTGAGAGAATTGATGAGGGATATACTGGCAGAAGTGTTTGGATTGGTATGTTGATTAATATTTGGTTGGAGTGATTTATTATCAAATTCTGAAATTATACATCAAGTCTTGTTCATCGAGTGGTGATAAATAAACTTTCGTTTACAACAAACCGGTTGCTGTTTGTTGCATTGGTGACTGTTTGTGTATGATGTACTGCTTGGATTCAGTTCTTCCTCGCCTGTGTTTGTGCTGTCCTCCGCTATCACCACGGCCACTCCACCATGGTTAACGTTAATTTTGTTCTCTTCTTTATTAATAGTTGATCCCTCTCTGTCAAAATACTTGACAATCCTATTGATTCGAGCCTTTGGGGATGAAGCGTGTTTTTGAAATGAACTTTATTATTATTATTATTATTAAATTGATTTTACTGGGACACATTTTAAAATTTAACTCCTTGATTTATATGAATGATTTTTATAAGGCCCCCATCTCAGGCAAAACTGATTCAGTACAATTATGAAATGGGACCCCGCTGGAGCCCCTCTTTCAACTTAAATGTACTATAGTTATTGAAGTGCATTTAGTTGTATAATTTTTTGTATTTGAAAAATAATTACTTGGAAAAGTTGTTTTTTTAACGTTTCGAGGAGGATATTAATTTTAATCTAGAATGATCCAGAAAGTTCTATATAGTTCTACGGGGATATATAATAGGATCTAAAAACTTACAAAATTTTAGTTTAGCTTTATTCATTTCTATACTTTCATGGGTTTTTCTTTGAACTTACCCTTTATAATCCTACCGGAAACAAAATCCCACTGGCAATATGATCCCAAAAAGGAACAGGATCCTAAAAGGCAACGAGTAAACTGGAACACACCAGTAACACGATCCTATAGAGTAGCAGGATACAATCAGAGAAGAGGATCCCAATGGGAAACGGGATCCCATGTAGAATGAGATCCCACCTGAAAACGGGATCCCACCTGAAAACGGAATCCCACTGGGATAAAGACCCCACAGGGAAATGGGAACCCACCGAGATCGGGATCCAACCGGTGTAGAGATCCCACCGGGAAACAGGATCACACCGGGATTATGATCCAACAGGGATAACACCGGGAAGATGGATTGTGATGTGATCGGGAACCCACAAGAATTGGAATCCCACAGGTATTGTTATCCTACCGGGATGGGGAACCCACTAGGCTCGGGATCCCACCGGGCTCAGGATCCCTATGGAAAACAGGTATACATCATAAAATGGGATCCCATTGGGTAACATGATCCGATTGGGTTCCCTCCGGGATTGGGATCCTCTGGGGGGAAGGAAAGTTTTACAAAAGTTATTAAAACGTGTTTTAATAGAGGACAGATTTTTTTTTTTTTTTTAAATTTATAATACAACCTTTAATGATAGGATTGAGGACAAGTGGGCAATTCTTTTAAGATTAGTCTACTTTTCATTTTTTTTTTTATCAAAATCATTATTATATAAACAGAGCAAAACTAAAATATTTTCAGGAAAATTTTCCAAAGTGTCAAATGAACAGTTTTACATCATGTGCTGAAATAATCTATTGACATAAAAGTTGCTGAAATTCTAATTAAACAGTGTGTGCGTACTAAATTAAACATTTGTTTCTATTATGAATTATTTAACATGATGTCTAAATGAATTGGAATGCTAAACAAATTATTTGAATGTATTATTTTGTCATTTTATTTTCTTAAATTATGTTTTGAATTGTGTTGAGTATTTTAAATCTAAAAAGTGTTTCAAATGTAATTTTTGTGTAATGATGCTTATGAAAAAAAGCCTTAAGTCTGTGGTGCCATACATGTTTTCTGTATTGTGAAAGTAATATTAGATTTATTGTGTGTTGTTTCTTGTTTTTTGGATGCTGGTATAGTGTTTAGTGTTTTGGCTCTATCTATATCTACTGGGTACTGTACCTGCTTGGATGATTTGTTTAAGTGTAGATGTAGTCTGTAGGGGTGTGCCGGATCCGTTTTTTCCAACCGGATCCGGATCCGGATTTTCTTATGCGAAATCCGCCGGATCCGGATTCCGGTTTCTCCCGGATTCCGGATTTTGGTACTATTGGTAGATACTTCGGTAAGTCAAGGTGGACTACTACTTTTTGTGTATGGGAATTCGCAATCGGCGCCAAAAAATCCGAGTTTTTAATTTTCCGATGTGTGTGTCTATTTATTATTAAATTAGTACTTTCGATATATATTTGAGTTCCGTTCCATTTGGATAAGTGTCTTACGAGAGACGCCATGTTTCTACGCGTTCGCAGCAGGTTATGCAGCTCGCTCAACCTAATTTCGCCATGGGGTTGGCCACGCCCCCCTTTTTAATGGCGGAAGTTGACGATACTTAGGAAATATTAATTTATTATCACTATTTACATCAAAATAATTGATAACTTGTGTTTCAGAATGCATTTAAAGACATTTAAACTGGAATGTTTTAATTTGAGCTTTAACAACCCGGTAGAATCCATATTATAAATGATCAGAATTTACCGTGTGCAACACGTTGTCATTGGCAACCATTCACAGCCACTTGCATAACTGTATCGTAGTACTACCTCAGAGTTTCATTCATAAGAGTTTGCCGTGTGCAAAAACTATTAAACCATTGGTCAGGGAAAGCTTTAATTAATTATTCATGTGCCAAAGTTGAAAGTTTAAACTAAGTCTAAACAGTATTTTAGTGATAAGGCAGGGAATGCGTTGCCTTATATAAACTATATAGTCATTGCGCATGACGGGATTGGTGGAATGAGATCACAGAATGTGGAGATGCAGTCCATGTTAAAAAATGACAAACCAAGTCGTACTTTAAAAATTCATAACTTTAAAACTACAACAGCTAAAAATATGATTTTGGTGTTATAATTCTTTAAAAAATTACATCTTTTCAACTATGCCATTGGTTTATTTTTACAAAAAGTTTAAATTTTCTTATCAAAGTCCCTACACTATTGGCCACTATTAGCGGTGCTGACTCTAGCCTCTGGTATGTACGGAATATTAAACATTAAACAAGCTCAACGCTCGAAACAATCGATTAATGTATCGTGATCGTGTGAAATTCGGGAAAGAGAATTACTTTTATTTCAGATTATGATCCGGTGAGTCACAAAATCTGGCAAATTCCGAAATCCGGTATATTCCGGATTCCGGAATCCGGTTGTTCCGGATACATGTAAATCCGGCGGAACCGGATTTCACCGGATAGTGCAAAATCCGGCGGAACCGGATTCCGGATCGGGGTCCGGCACACCCCTAGTAGTCTGTAATATTGTGTTGCATGTCAGATATAAATGTTGTTCTGTCTCATCACCCCCTGTCCTGCAGAGTGGACATTCTATGTGCTTAACTCTGTCCTTAAATGGTCTTGATGAGACAGGTGTCATGTTGTATATGACTATGAGTCTATATGTTATTTCTTTGACTGTATTTTCTATTTCTTTAATGTGTGTATTTTTAAATGTATTCTTAGTGTTTATTGTTTCATAAACATGTGTCCATTTTATTTTTATTCTACTGTAGAGTGGTGTTGCTTGTCTCTTTATTAAATGTGTGTAAATTTCTTTGGTTGTTTTGTGTATAAGTGTTTCGTTGCCTTTTAATGTGTGGATGCATGCCATATGAAAATCCAACTGATTTCTTCCCATGTTATGTGGTGTGCTGTTGTCATTTTTTTATTAAATGTCGTAACCTTATCCCTATGTAATAAATGTTCACCCTTCTTTCTAATGGCTTGTCCTATAAATTTGATTCTAAGTGCCTTTAATTTAGTTTGTATGTCTTGTAAATTATTCCCCCCCCCCCTTTTCTAATTTAGATTGGATTAATGTTGTATATTTAATGTTTTGCATTGTTCCTTGAAATATGTAGTTCCTGATGTATAAGTTGATTTGTTTTAAAATTGTTGGTGGGGGACCCCATATGTTCCCTGTGTATATTATTTTTGGAATAACATATGTGTTTATGATTGTGCTCCTGCCAAAAATTGTGCGTGCTGTGTATTTATGTCTGTCAATGCTGTTTTCTTATTGATTGTTAAATGTTTTGCCATGTTTCTATGTTAGTTTGAGTCTGTTGGTTTGAAAAATAAATCCCATAAATCCTAAGACTTTCTTTCCTTACAATTTCCAAAGGGAAATCTCGTCTATCTTTCCGCCTACCAATCCACATGTGTGGTTGAATGTGGTCATGTTTCTTTGATTTAAAAATGAGTCTGCATGCTGAGTTCTGTGCCTTCTGAAGTTTGTCTATGTGGTGTTGAGGGATGCCTGCGAGAAGAGTGTTACAGTAGTCAAATTTTGAAAGAATGAGTGAAGAGACGAGAGTTTTTGCGGCATCAAAGAAGAGGTGTCTAATGGTGCTGATTTTTCTAATTTCGTTATATGCTAATCTACATATATTCATGACATGTTTGTCCATGGAGAGGTTGTCTGTAAGTGGGACTCCAATGATTTTCGTTTCATTACCGCCAGGGATCCTTACTCCTTTAATACTCTCCTCCCTTCTAATTCTCTCTAACAAGGGTTCAAAGGATAAGATATAAATGTATGGGATAGGGGACACCCTTGTCTAACTGATCTATCAATTTTAATGTCTTTAGAAAGTGTGATGTTTATTATAAGATTACTAATTGGGGCCTTGTATAAAATTTTTACCGTACCTAATTACAAAAATAATCCCATAAATTGTTGTGTTGTAATATTTTATATAAGTATGTGTGGTCTACCCTATCAAATGCTTTTTCTTGATCTAGTGATAATATGCAAGTTTGGATGTTTTTCTCATTTGAATATTGAATAAGGTCTCCAATGAAATGATGTGGTTATGTACGTCTCTGCATTTGATGCTGCATTGTTGGTTTATATGTATTAGGTTTTTTAAATTTACGATCTTTGGAGTCTCTGTGTGTGTTTCCCCTTTTGAGTCAATGATCGGTCCTATCTGTCTACTTTTTTGTATGTTTTGTTCTATTGTTAGAAATATCTTTGTAGGTGCCTCTTGGTTATTAGTGAAAGTTCTACTCCTAACATGTGCCCCATAGTATTTATTTTGTTAAATTTTTTCTAGTTCTTCTTCTAATTCTTGTATATTGAGGCTGAAAGGAGTTTTTGCTTTCTCTGATGGTATGAGTATTTCTAATTCTTTTTCTCTTTTTTTTTTTAGGAGACAGATTTATTACTATTTTTTACAACAGCGGAGGTTTTTTTACATGGTGCTTAAATTAATGTTAATTATAAGGCTGTATAAGTTCCTTTGTTCTGAATAAATGCCGGAAATGCAGGGTATATCGGCTAGTTAAAATAATAAATAGACTGCTTTAGCCTTCCTCAGGCAACAAAAAAATTTAGTTAAAACATATTATGAATTGAAAAACAAAAAAATGAGATTTACAACTTCCACAAGTTAGGACCAAGGAAAAGCATCCATTTTATAAAATTAACTTTAATTAATAAAACCATTGTGATTTTTTTCATAGAGATGTACGGACAATTTTTAAATTAGTCTAACTGCACATACAGTTTTTATATTAGTCTAAGTGTATACCATATGTACAGTTTTTATATTAGTCTAATTGTGCATAGGTTTTAATTAGTAAAATTGCATATACAGATTTTTTAAATTAATAAATATGATTCCACCCATTTTTTTAAAACTAGTAATACCGGTAATGGAAAACATGGACCTTCATAATTTTTTTCCTCCAATTATTCATTAAATAATTTGAAATAAATTAATGAGTTAGTGATTATTTGCAGTCATCTGGATGTTTTAGTGTTAAAAAAGAGAGAGAAACACCTATCGGCCACCAGTTCCTAAAATGAAGGAATGGCTCAGTGTATTACTATTATCATTTAACCAATGATATGGACATAAATACAAAAGGTCTGGAAGTTAATTTTTTTTTTTTTTAGTTCTAGTACAATTTGTTAAATGTTTGTTTATAGAAGGTAGCATTTGAATGATGAAAGCGTTAAAAATAATGGGTAAGTTATAGAAATCAGTTTGTCTGATCCATATTATAAAAGTCAGTTTGCCTGATCTATATTGAAAAGGTTGGAGCCCTGGGACATCTGCTGTGTTTTTAAAAACCAAGGAATGGGAGATTTTTTAGATATTTCCCCAAAATATGTTTCTCGATGGAAATATTCAATGGGAGAAAATCATAGACTATTAAAATTCAAAAAGTTAGGCCTAATACAGAGAACATAGGCATAATTATAAAAAATAAAATATGAAAATTAAAAATAATAAAATAAAAATAAAAGCAATAAAATAAATGAATAAAAATCCTAATCATGGAGCAAAAAGATTAATTTGAAGACATAATCACTTCAGGTTTGTGAGAAGTGTAACTTCAAATCAAAATTGGTACTTTTTTTTATGTCAGAGCTATTTAGATACTCAAAATTGATACTCATACTGTCTTCTGGGTCTATTTAATTTCTCCTGTGTTGTTATGTTGATTTAATTTTAAAATTTTTGTTCACAAAGCTTTTTTTTTACTGTCTTCTCATGTGAAATGTTGAAAGCCCTGGGTGAGCAACCCTATTGTGAGCACACTAAAATAGTATGGATACAAGCACTATGCAAGTATTCAATTCAATATTGTCAACCGACACAATGGACCTTTTTAGTGTGGTGATTTTTGTTTGGACCAATATAATTTTGTTTAAGGTAAATATCAGATGTACCATTAAAAATTATTCTTTACCAAAGTTTATCAAAATTTCATTGTACCGGTATTTAATAATATAATGAGCATTCTGTCTGACAAATGATATGGAAAATGTGCATATTTATACAATTTTACTGTTGATTAAATCCTTGAATATTGACTGCTTCTTTATAATGAAATTTCAGCCATACATTTCTGTTGAAAAAAAATAGCTAAAGAACATGCCTACCCTAGTCTTCAGGTACTGGACTGGTTTATTGAAGTTAAAGCAGATGGAATTTAAAAATGGGGAAAACTATTCTGAATGACAGGTATTCTGAGGTATCTTAAAACACTGAAACTGAACATTTCAAAATTAATTTTTATGTTTGGATCGCCTTGGCTTTGTGTATGAGAATAAGGGGCCCAACAATGATGGCAAAATTGTGATGTGGAAAAATAATTAAACTATCACCTTTTGCTTTAACAACACTATTGACTATTGTGACTACAGGGGGCACAGGACCGAAAATTGAATTGGGCCTCCTAAAGTTATGCGACAGCTCTGCAAATCCAGTAGGATCCATCAAGACAAATACAGATACTGAAGTTTGGATGTGAAATTACAGGCGGAGAGTGAGATTAGGGGACTTTGAGTAGAAGAATTGAGCCAACATCTTGGCAGCTTGTTAATGAAAAGAAAATCAAATTTCCCATAGAAGTTTGTTTAAATTTTGATTGAACTTAGTTCTTCATTTAATTAGAAGTACTATTACTATTTCGTGATTTATTTTATTAACTGTGGCAAATTTTACCTTTTCACTCACCTTCACCCCTGCTGTAGCTTTTTTTTGGAATAAAAGGTTTGCCATCTTTTTTTTTGTAAGGGTTCCCCCAGAAGTACCGCTATACTGGTCTCTCATTTCATTTGTTTTTTTTTACCAATTACCCCAACCCAGGCTGAAAATCAAGAGGGTAATCATGTTCATTCCACCAGGTTTGGTTACCCAGAGAGGTAAGAACAGACACTACATCCTAATCTTAGCCAACGGGCCGAGAAGCAATCCGACCTGCGGGTCTCTCATTTGTTCTTTTCTTACCGATCGCCCCGACCCAGGCTGTAAATCAAGCGGGTAATCATGTTCATTCCACCAGGTTTGGTTACCCAGAGAGGTAAGAACAGACACTACATCCTGATCTTAGCCAACGAGCCGGGAAGCGATCAGATAGGTGGAGGGGGGAGGGGTTATTCAACTAACCTTGTTGCCCACCTACCGTCTAAAGCATTGCAAAACAAGATGGGCCAAAACAACAATAAGGTACACTGTATCCGGTACACAAAAGAGGTGCGGTTTCACTAAATGCCGAGCCACTAGTAACGACTTGTCAGCATGTAAACCTTTTTTTTTTATCTTAATTGACCATATTTCAGTGCAATCCTATAAAATGCACGAATTATTTAGGATAAATAAACAAAAGTGTACCACTTGTTTTGGGTTTAACTCAAAATCAGGAGGTGTCAATAATTTTAAAAAATGTTGATTGAGAATGCAACTGATTTTGGAAACATAAAGGAGGCGTCCCTTAATTACGTCAACAAAATAGGGGTGGGGGGCGGGGGAGGTGGAAATGTTTGACAGCTTTTGACAAGAGGAGGGGGGAGTTTATATTAGTTTACGTCAACAATCAAGTTCTTTCTATTAGAATTTTAATCTTAAAAATTGAATTCTACTTACATTATTTTAACAATTTAATGAGTTTAAATAGTCTTATATGTTTAGGCTTTTAACAAATAAGAGTTATTTAATGTGTGTCTGTCTGTGCAGTGCAGATGGTGGGTCAGAATGTTACTACACTTTGTTAGTGCAAGAGAAGTCAAAAGTTGGAATCTCTTCCCATGTCATTTTTTCTCTTCATCCACTCCCTAGAATGATTAACACATCATTGTACACGGTGTTCAATTTTTTTTTTTTAAACACCAACTTATCGCTTTTCAATAACAACTATAACAACTCAAAGACAGAGAGAGCTTATGGCAATTATTGCTCACACCGACAATAATTCTATTTAAGTGCTGAATGTTTAGATAAGGATAATGTTGACTTGTCTGGTATATCAGTTCCTCAAGATGAAAATGATTATGATAAATCCGCTACTATACGCTATGCCCATCAGGGGCGTGATTTCAGTTGCTTTTTCAGGGGATTGGTTAACTAGCTTAACATTTAATAAAATGATTCCCATACAATTGTATGTGTCATTTAAATAGATCAGCACAAAGTAAAATGAATTTATAAATGTATTTATATTATAATTATTTTTTAGAAAAGGGGTGGGGGGTATAAAATGTTGACATAATTAAATTGAGGGTGGGGGTGACATAGAAAGTTTGACTGTTGTTGACAAGGGGAGGGGGGGGGATAAAAAAAAGCGTAAAAATAAAATTGTTGACGAGAATTTTCTACTTAATAAGACTAGTCCAGGCGTGATCTACGAGCCCGGCTTTGTGATGTGGGGGGTGGGGGGTGGGGGGGTTGTTGACGTAATTAATGGACGACCCCTAATGTGAATATGAGACTGTCATAATCAGTCCACCCCCCCCCCCGGACACACACACACACACACACACATAAATACACACACACACACACACACACATTATAATGTCTTTGTTTTGTTTTGTGGTTAACTTCTCAGGAGGGTAGAGATGAACTTTTCTTTCTATGTCAATAACCCATTCAGGAAAGGAAAAGATAGTTATTGAATTTCATGACATACCGGTACATTGGTCGAACTCCAATTGCCAGTGGGTTTACACGCTGAGAAACTCTTACATTCTGTTAATTTCAGCGAGAACCAATATGAAAAAACGAATGTGAAGCAAAATTATTATTTTTTTCAGAATTGATAAAAATTTCTGAAAATGTTATTAATTTTTAAATATTTATAACGGATTAGATAGTTTTAATAATTTTTAACCCATTTTTAGACTGAAATTCAATCTCATTAATTGAATAATCTACATAAGACAGTGGAGACTAGGAGACGACATCATTCACCTGATTAATGCTACGACGTCAAAACAACAGTTCGGCCAGTGGCGTAGCTAGGGCGTGCGGACCACACCGGGTGAGATCTTCTCAGGGGAGTGACACCAAATTGAAAAATCACATATTTACAGAGCACACACTGCTCTGTATAACCGAATTTCAACTTGTGATTCAGAATTATGATATTATATCTAATTCTGGAATGTGCCGAAATTATCGTGGGTAAAAATTGGGAAACCTGCTCTCCGCTGACTTTTAAATCAAATTAAATTGCCAAAATCTTTCAATACTCATTAACAATATGTAAGGCATGATGCTTCTGAAGGAGTGAGTCTCCTAGAAATGTGATGCCTTGGGCCAGTTGGTCCAGCTATATTAGACTTCTGGCACAATACAGCCGGCTAATTGTTGGCTCAGCTAAGTACTTCTGACACAACACAGTCGGCTAAGTGTTAATATGCTTAACTTTCGATTAACTTTCCAGGGGGGGGGGATTTTTAGTAATGTTTTAATATAGTTTTAATTTACTGTAGCGTATTTGTATGGTGAACGAACGGACAGGACATCAGCTTATTTACTTTCTCTTTATTTTCTCTTTATTTTAATAAATTTTGTGTCTATTTTTGTCTAAAAAAATTTTACCCAATCAATCCAGGGGGGGGGGGGGGCAAGTTTCCCCCTTCCCCCTCCCTCGGGGCCCCCTGGGGTAGGCCCTCTTGGGGGGGGGGGGGGGGGGCGCAAATTTGTTATTGTTACATTTTTTTTTTAAATTTTGAGTGAAGAAGGAGAAAAGTGACAGAAGAGTCAGAGAGGGAGAAATCTTACGACCTGGAATGACCTGTCTTGAATGGAAAATTATTATGAGATTACTATGAGACAGTCATCAGAAACAAACCCTGGGCAGGCCCTGGTGATCATTTTTCTTAGAAATTGAGTTGAGTGACTACATAGTCATAATTCTACGAACCATGAGGGACCACTCCTCATTAGGGAGTAGGAGAAACCGAAACAAATCCATCGGGTTTTCCCGTTATACTAAAACAGGAAATCAATTTTAAAGAAAGAAAAAAAACTTTGTGAAGCCTAAACTCTGTATAGTCACTTCTAATAAATTTTAAAATCTGTGACGTCTATGTAGGTATTAGTAGGTAATAAGCATAATTTAGACTAACTTCATTAGTTACTTAGCTTTAGTAGTAGGCCTACTGAAGGCTACTGTCATTGAATTCGTTGCCTTATTAAAATTAAAAGTTATTTGTCTGTCTTTTTAAAGTTAAAGCAGTAAAACTAAAGTAAAGCTCGATTAGTCTTAGTCTTAGCCTTAGTAGTTAGTAGTAATAAATAGGCCTAATAACTTTTAATAAGTTAGTCTACCTTATTTAAACTTATTATTAACAAGCAGCCTGAGTTTTGAGTAAGTTAGTTAAGGGTTCAGTACAGTAAGTAAGTAGGCCTATAACTTTTACTTTTAATACTTTTAAGTATTATAGTAGTACTAGCTATACTGTAGGCAGGGGTAGCCTCAATTACCCAGTAGAGCAAAATCTTCTGCTTCTTGCTAACTTATATAATGTATTAAATAATTTTTATATACCTTATAATATTCTTATAAAATATAATATACCATATATATAATATAATATATATTTATATAGGTATAGCCTAGGACATATCATATATCTATCTGGCTAACTATAGACACTATAGTCTATAGTTATAGTCTATGGCTATGGCCCATGGTATATGAAATTTTATGATCGAATCACATTTATATCATATTTAGGGCTGACCTGCTTGTAGGTTGTACTGTAACTAGGCAATATGGCAATATGTAGGCCTGTGGGGAGGACTGAATTCAGGTTGAAGATGAAGCTATAGATTATTATAGACAATAGGAAATATAAAAAGTAGGTAATCTGCATATTGCCTTGCACATTAACATACTATTAGTTTACAAACTAGTCTAAGACAATTATCATTATTATTATTGACATTGAACAATTACAGAAGGACAAGAGTGTCAATAGTGAGAATCACATTACAACAAAGAGCATGGATCCTGCTCATAAACAGCTAATTCAGGATAATTTTATGGATTTGTTAAAAGAAATAAAGCCGCAGATAAGATTTGTCTGCAGAGATCTGCTGAATGCAAGAATTATATCAGAACATATGTATGAGGATATCATAGAGGTAACTCTAATTCCTTCTTTCTCTACTCAGTCCTTTTAAGCTTTTTTAAACAGTTAACTGTTTATAATTATAAACTATCAGAAAGACCAACACTAACATAAGTCTGAAGACCCATGACTGTAGCATCCACTATATTGCAGTTGTGAGCAATTTTTCCAAAATTTTCAAATTTAAAACCAGGACATTTAAAAGAAATTTTCACCATGTGTGTCCAAAAACAAACAGGGACAGTGCCTCTAAACCAGGATTTTTGTAATCCAAATTATTTATTATTATACTTCATCTTAAATTAATCCTGAATAATTTAGAATAATAGGAATTGTTGATAATAAAGTATCTCTCACTCTCACCAAAAAGTAATTCTTGTAGGCCATGCATTGAAATAATGCTTTAAAAAATATGTTTTCTTTACTGAAACACTGATTTCTTTATTTAGGTCAATTAAGTTGGAAATCTTTTCTTTATATCATTACATTAAGATTTTATTACTGAAAAAATACCATGTGCATATACATTATTTTTACTTTATCAGGCCCGTAGAACTCAATCAGATCAGACCGAAGCTCTTTTAGACTTAATTATCAGAAGAGGCCCAAATGCCTTTGGGTCCCTCTACAGATCAATTCTGGCAGCAGAGCTGTATGGGGCAGCAGACATTTTGGAACCAGAAAAAGGACCACATTGGGCTCCACCTGGAGCTGAAGCAGAAAATACTGCTGTGCAACAATTTGCAACGGATGATGCTCAAAGCAAGCAAGGATCTGAAAAGGAAATGCATGAAATTAAGTTGCCCGATAGTAAGTATCGCTGGTGCAGTTTTTTTATTGCCCATTCAACATTTTATCTGGTCCATTAGTTATGTCAACAAAATGGGTGGAGAGGGAGGTTGACAATTGTTGATAGAGGTGCGTGGGGGGACGGGGGAGTTGTGGAAAGAAAATCTTTATATAAAAATGTTACTAACTCTACCAGATAGCGCTGAAAAGTGTGCGGTTGAAATGGGGGGGGGGGGGTTCCCTAATTGGGATTTTTTTAAAGTGTGTCATTTGGGAGTAAATGCTGTAAAGTAAATTAAGTAGGCGAGAAGTTACCATTGTTTGGCAGGCTATAACTATTGATGTAAAAAATGGGGGGGGGGGGGTTCCCTAATTGGGATTCTTTTAAAGTGTGTCATTTGAGAGTAAATGCTGTAAAGTAAATTAAGTAGGCGAGAAGTTACCATTGTTTGGCAGGCTATAACTATTGATGTAAAAAATCTGATGTGTAAATTGGGTGGGACATTAAAATATTAATATAGTTCAGGGATGGTGGCTCCCATTGATTGACAGGCTATAGCAAATATAACTATTTTTTAAAAATTGGTCCCATAATTTATTGCAAAATATTTGTTAATTTTAATGGTTCTAAAATTCGTTTTATCAATTGATCAAATTAGCATGGATGATGTGTAAATGGGCCTAAGAAATTACCACAGAGAGATGGTGAAATGTTGGTTATTATTGCACAGAGAGAAATAGCTGATATTGTACGTGCTGAATAGTCAGACTTGACAAGGATGATCTTTGCCGGCTTTATAATAATTTTGATATAGCAATGATAAATTAAACAATTGCTTTGCACTATTGTATAAGAGGAGCTTTTGGCTTATCAATATGAAAAGGAAAAAATACTAGCAAAAATTTACTAACAATAATAAATAATAAATTCTTCATTATAAAAGTGTGTCAAGTTATGAACTCTAATTATTACAAATTTATTTAAAATTTGTTAAAGATTTTTTAAAAATTTGATTAAATTCTTAACGGCCAACCCCATACTTTGAAATATTTTGACAGCCATTTAACATTTAGGCCCACTTAAACACCCATCTTTTTCTTCTGTCTGATTTTACTGGGAAGGAAAGGCAAGAAGGAACAGTTTACACAATTGCACTTGTTACACTAGGTTCATTGGCTTCGTTGTCTAGGGATTTATTATATACACTTCACAACTATAATTCTTAGATGAAATATCTTTATTCATCAACTAATTCTTCAACTGCCATTACTGTAATCAAAGAAAAACACTCCACAACCAAATCTACAATAATAATACGTCATTTCCCTTTCCACACAATACCTCACAAGATACTAAGAATAATAGAAAAAACAACACACATAATCTCAAACCAACACGCAATCACACTATACATTCAAGTCCCTGACGCACTGCTGGTTACCTTTAGCGCAGTCATTAGAGGCTCAGAAATTCTTCAAATGCATCATCATATTCAGAAATCAATTGCCTCAGATTTTCCTGATTTAAAATGCACTAAGCTCTATCATGTTTGGGTATTAAACTATTTTTCTGTTTTATTTTTTCATAAGAATGGCCAGGAGATTCCAGTCTGATAGATTTCCAGGTAGAAAATGTCAGCAAAACTTCAAAAGCTTTTGAGGAGTATAAAAAGTCTCTAACACCACTTGGAAAGGTACACAAGATTATAAACTTTTTAAGTTTAACTTTGAAGAATGTGCATTTAAGTTTTATCTGGTCCCTATTAATTTTTGTTTAAAAAAAAAAAAAGCCGGACCTGTTGGATAGATAAAATGAGATAATATTCTTTTAATTTATTTTTTGATACTTATTTGGTATAAGTTTTTTAATTATATTTCATTTCTAAAGGAATACTGGTATCAGATGAGAAACAATCCCAGAGGAAGGGCCTTGATAATAAATAATATTGAATTTACAAGAATGTATAAACGAACTGGATCTGAGGAGGACAGACAAGGTCTCAACAAACTTTTTACCAAGTTAGAATTCATAGTTAACATACAAGAGGACAAAACTAAAGACGTAAGTTTCACTTTAGAAAATTTGTGTTAATTCTTAATCCTAGAAAATTATAATTTTATTATTACTGTCTTTTTGTAGGATTTAGTAAAAGTGTATGGCCAATAAAAAATATTTTTACTCAATACCTTATTTAATGGACCACCTACTAATATCTTAAAGGTACGTTTTTACTAAGTCCAGTATCACATACTTGCAAATTAAATTTTTTGAAGATAATTTGTGTTGAGATCTAGTGAACTCATCCAACATAACTTAGACATGAATACAATTAGCAATGTAATCAGAAAATCCTCAAAGAGGGTAAAGGGTACCAGTAGTACAACGTAAAACTATAATTTTAGAAATGATGTGGTATTGGGCAAAATGCCAAAGTGCCATTCCCTGATTCCTTCCTTACATATAATGCTGCTGATAAATTTTTATGTACCATTGCTGGCAAGGTATAAAAAAATATTACATTCCTGAACTATCCTTATTTAACTTTATTACTTTATTATTGTTTTATGAACAATTAAACTTTGGACTATCAAACGATATAATAATATTTTTTTAAAACTTAAAGATGGATAGCTGTGTGTTAAATTATGCAATTCAGATCTTTTAAAATATTTTTTTCTTAATTCTACCTTCTTTTCGGGGAGAGAGGGGGGGGGGGGGATGTTTGTATGTGAAATTTAAGTTTGAAATATATCAAAAACTGATTTATTTTAAAGGAAATTATGAAAATTCTGAAAAGAGAATAAGAGATGGACCAAAGCAAGTTTGACTGTTTAAATATTTTTTTCTTAATTCTACCTTCTTTTCGGGGAGAGAGGGGGGGGGGTGATGTTTGTATGTGAAATTTAAGTTTGAAATATATCAAAAACTGATTTATTTTAAAGGAAATTCTGAAAATTCTGAAAAGAGAATCAGAGATGGACCACAGCAAGTTTGACTGTTTCATCCTAGTCATTTTATCACATGGCTGTAAAGGAGGTGTCTTTGGCACTGATGGCTACTATGAAACAGACAAAACACCAGTAAATGCTATAAAGATAAGAGATATAAAGGAAATGATTTGCAGTTGCACTTCTTTGACGAATAAGCCAAAGTTATTGTTTATTCAAGCTTGTCAAGGCCGTAAGTTGCTGAATAAATAATATAAAGGTTTATTTACAACAAGAAAAAAGCAAACAGTCTATGATATTTTACATTAACTGTGTTTGTTATACACAAAGTATGCCCTGTTTAAAATTATTTAATATAGATTTAAGAATGTTACCTCTATTAATTATTTTGAATCTTGAATTTGGGTAGCAGGAAAAAAAACTAAATCTTCTTACAATCAAAATTCTATAATTTCAATGTATTTCATTTTTATTATTTTCCATACACATGATATTTATGAGTTTGATTTTTGCCCCCCCCCCCCCCCCCTCCAACAAAATTATTATTATTTTTTTTTAAAAATTCATCTGTTTCAATCATACACAATAAGACAGAAAATGTGAATTTACAAACTTTTATTGCGGGATAAAATTCATATTAACCTGTAAAAATAAATGGACAAGTAAATTCAATTCAATGGTAATGAGAAACATTTCACACAGAAAACATGTTGAATAAAGGTTCTCAACCAAAACAGATTATCATTACAATGTTTTTAAACAACTTAACCATCTTCGCCTAACCTGATACAGATGTCCTTCAACAGGCTGGCTTTGTTTCTTACAAATAGGAAAAAGGACAAACCAGTTGACTGGGCAGGTGCCAGGCAGCAGAATGCCCAAATAACTAATAAATATTGAACCTTCCAAAGAAACATAGCTGGTGGGCAGATAAAATGTTTCAAAGAATACCTAACATTGTCACTCAATTCCATGAAATGAACTCCTGGGACCACTTATTATTATTATTATGACTCACTCAAAGAAAGTGCACAGCAAGGAAAAGCGGAACTGCCTCCAATCCCATTGAACCTCAAAACACCTGTGTCCTACATGGACTCAAGCTTTCCAGGCAAAAAAAGGAGTCACAAGCCTCCGTCGAAAATAGCATTAGTCAAAGTAGTTATTTTAAACCCTGGCAATGGGCAAAAATTAAACTTATGAATTAGACTCATTATCTGGTAACTAAAAGAGACCAGATTGACTATCTTATTTATTTTAATGGCTTTATACTTCTCCAGGGGAAGCTGGTGGACTGGATCAATTTTTAATTGATCATTATGGAAGACTATGGTCTTTACATCATTACTCTTCTTCAGTCTTTTAATATCATAATTTCTTTTAATGTTACTATTTTGTTATTTTGGTATGCTGAATAGTGTGATTATTTAATATCATCTATGTTTAAGTTGATGGGGACATGGGCAAAGCTGATGATCCAAACAGTCATGATGGGTCTGTGCCAGAACTGTCTTTTGATTCAGATGTGACAGAGACTCTGACAAATCTGTTAAAATCTAATGTAGAGCAGGATGATGGCTCCAGGGAAAAAACACCCTCAGATGCTGATGTCTTTGTTGCTATGGCAACAACACCAGGTTTGTTATATGCAAGGGTCTGGACAGAACAAGAAATGTGTCTTATAGCAAATTTTAAAAATACAGAAAGATATAATAATATATCAAGAAGTAGGTTTGGATTTATACAGGAAGAGGCCATGTGTTTTGGAAAGTTTTACTTTAATTAAATACCGGTACCGTATTAAATACCTTACTGCTCCTAAATCTCTAATGTGACAACTCACTGTTAAAGAGACCAAATCAGGTACTTATTAAGTCCATACCGATCCTTCCTGGGTAATTAAAAGTATCAATATTTTTGCAAATAATCATTTCAGCTTGAGCTTTGAAGAGAAAAAGTGCAATTTTTAAAATATGTAATAAATGATATATAACACTGTATCCTGTATTTATATTCTCTTTTAACTTTTCCAGGTAAAACAGCGATTCGCAATAAAGTTACAGGGACTTGGTTTATACAAGCTGTCATCTATATTTTCGCCAACTATTCACATATGTATGATTTAAATAAGCTAATGACACTGGTAAGTCTCAACAGAAGTTTAAAATTAGATTTGTATTGTTCAGGCTTAATAAGTTTGTAAAGTAGTCGGCAACCTGTGGCTGCGGAGCTGCATGCAACTCTTTGAAGGAATAAGTGCTGCTCTTTTCATCATCAAACTCAGCCCTGGCAGCGGGGCCCTAAATTTTTTGTTTGTGTCACTGTTATATTTAGTAAATAATACCTGAGACGATGTGGTTCAAACAGTGACTAATTTTGATATCGACATTCACAACAATAAATAAGTTTCACAAAAATATGAAGATATTTGGAATTATTTTTTTTAAATTTCAATTTCTATTATACTTCCACATAACATAATCTTCTTTTACATGATAATGTTATCAAGAAACCTGTTACAAAATCCATGATCTCTATTCACTCCATTATTATTCTATCCATTATTCAAACAGAAACCTTGATTGGCCAATTCCTCTCAAATCCAAACACTGTATATTATTCAAGTAATATTAAGTACATTACTTCTTTCCCTTAAGTGGTTCACATATTCATATCTCTGTGAAAGTTGGCAAATATAATTTTTTTTTAATGTCAGACCCATTAGTAAAAAAAAATCTATGCATATAAACTATTTTGGACTAAATATATATTTTGGAGATAATACTTATTTATATTTTTGTCTTTTTAATTTGCTTTTAAAACAAGAAAAAAGGAATATTCATTTTTATCTGTTCCCCTGTAAGTATAACAACTATCACTGGCCTATTAAAAAAAAGTTTTTTGAACTTCTATTGATTGTGTAATGTCATATTTGCATTGTGTATGTGGCATGTCATAACATAGCTTAGATATCTTCTGAAGCATCTTTTGTTATGCTCAACTTCAAAACTTCAAACCAATCGTTGGAATGCATAGAGTTATTTTTTAATTGGTACAGAAGAATGGCAAATTTGTTATCGGGTTATGTTAATTTAATTCCTTGAAGCTTCCACTGATGGTGTGTAATTTATTAACATATTGTTGTTCTCAAAGTTTTTGCTGTATCATCCTGGGGAGCTTCAGATTCCCCACACGGATGAAACCAAATATTACCTTTTTTTTGTCTTTCTTAATTTTATTTCAATTCAATGAGCTTGAAGCAACATCTGGCATACCTGGTGCAAATCAGTAACATTGTGACTTTCTTTTCTTTCTTAATTTTCTAAAAGCTGTAGTGCAAGGCTCAGTTCCATATTATTTGTTCATTTTGGTTTTAAAAGAAATAATTTAAATTTAAAACCATTTTGAAGAAAAAAAGAAATTATTGTTGCTTGATTTGATTTATTTTACAAAATGTAATTTCTGATTTTGTTTTCAAAGCTGAATTTCATTTACATGTTTTTGCTGAGTAATTCTGAAAAGTGGGATTTTTTTTATCAAGTTAAGTACTTAAAAATGAGTTTCCTTTAGGTGAGGTTTGCCATATGTGCAAAAGGGCAAAGTCTGAAAATGTTTGGGGTAGGCAAGGTGTAGGGATATTAACAATATTTGTGTACATAATATACTGATGGCCCCTTCCATACATTACATACTGATAGACAAAGGACTTCATTAAAGTGTAGTACTACCTTTTTTTTCCAGGTGAACAAACTTGTGTGCAAAGCAATGACAAAAGAAGGTAAAAAGCAAGTTGCTGAGGTCAGAAATACTCTGCAGAAGACATTTTCATTTTTCCCTGGCCTTACACAAAGCTCCTCATTGTAGATTTAAAATCAACAAAGTTTACAAGAACAAAAAATTGATGAATGAAACAGCAGACTCTGGCTATTCTTCTCTGAATCTATTTTTAGAAATCTAATGAGCTTATTTTCTTTCATGAATGCCAATGACAGTGTCCACTATTAGTTAAAATAACATGGTATGAAATCTGCTTGTTCTCTGAAAACATATACATTTTTGTAGGACTTCTGACATGAGTTTGTTAATCTATGCAAACATTTTGATGGCAGCTGAGAACTAATATGTTTATTTAGGATGCATAATATTAATTTTGTTTAATTAAGATATTGTATCTCTTACTTTTTAACTGATAGTGTGGTCCATTAGCCTTACATTGCCTGTCCGCACAACATTGGTCAAGAAACTATAAAAAAAGAAATGTTTCCTTGTTTGAGTCTTGTTTCAAAACCCCCTTTAAAAGGGAGATTGTGTTATGCATAAATGTACCCCATGTTGTATGCGTCCAGAAAACCATTTGAAGCTTATGCCATTGAAACTTTTTTATGAATTTTAATCGATAGCCGACTAGCATTAAATGAAGAGACCTAAAGAATTGGCTGGTCACGGTTCAAGAAGTATTTTGGCCTGGCCCCTGGTGCCTTCAGGAAACTTGGTCTTTACTTCATTATTATGTTGGTCATTGTTGGAGCCTAGCAGCTGAAGATGGTGAAGTGTTTTCTTCCAAGTTAGAGATTGCAAGCAAGATACAATCCAGCTAAACTGGACACTGCCTCTCACTGATTCAGCTGATATTTTTCTTATACTAGGATGTTGTGTTGAAGATAGAATTTGTTTTAGTTAGTCACAGGTTAAAAAATGTTGAAAACTGCGGCCATTTTTTCTGCATGAATCATGAATACTCCCTAAATCTAACCATATTTTCTTTATGTAACACAAAAAGCAAAATAATTGGGTTTATTGTCATTCTTGTTTCTTTATAGCTGTAACTTTTTTAAAAATTAAAATCAAATTATTGGTTAAATCTACATTAGTATATTAGATAATGCTTACTAATTGCCACATGTAAATCAAGATGATTTTAATTGAATCTTGGATTTTTTAAATGATTTTAGTTTTAACTTATTTTTATCAAATTCATTAACTGTGTTATCATACATATATTTGTAATCTTTCACCGCTGAATTGCTTTTCTTCTGTGCCATAAACTAAGCCTTTTCTTCTGTGCCATAAACTAAGCGTATATTTTCTGTAATACTAGATTTTGAATCCCTCCAATTTTACTTAACATCATTTTTATCTATTTCATCTTAATTACAATGGAAGCCAATTTTTAAATAACTTTTCCATGTTATAGAAAATTGAAATGTTACAGGCAACTTTATCATGCATAGAATTTTAAATCTATCAAACTTTGCATCTTTACTGATTCCAAAACATATTTGTAAAAAGTTTGCACAAATATTTGGATTTTGAACTTAAAAGTTGAATAAAAGTTTGTATTCAATGGAAACTTTTTGATTCACAACTGATATTCTATTAGTATCCCAGTAACTCCCCTTGAAATAGCTTATTTTAAAATGTAAACAAGGGAAGGGATTTTATTTGATCTAATTACTAATAGTCAGTTATTATTCCTGTTTCTTTAATGTGTTAAAATAAAATTCACTCATTGGCTATCAATCCAGTGAGCATGCACAAATAAAATGGATGCCATACTTAAAAACAACTTTCCTTTGTTGTATTACTTGTTATACCCTTTTAGTTTAATCAATACATGCATAATTTATTAACACAAATTCATCACCGCTACCAAGATACATTTATAGCAACACCTTTACTATGTATGATGACTTTTCTCAAGGTGCTTGTAATCATGTGGAAAGTGAGTGGCACAAGGGTGCTTAGAAGGATGCAGGATGCAACGGCATTCTTGAGCATCATTAGGAATTCGGACCAACATATCCTAAGTCAGATACTATTTCTAATACGGTTTTAGAAATCAAAATGAGCTTTAGTCGATATTATCTGCAGCCCATTTATTTATGCCTGGATATCAGATGTACTTGATCTTTAGAAAAATTATACCTATAACAGTACTGGTTATAGCACTCAGAAAACCAGTACTTCCCTGCAAAAAATGAAAACCAGTAGAAATGGCCATTTGCCATTATTGCTTCTCTTCTCAAAGCCATATCCTTTAACATACTTTTTGTGGTTAAAGCCTCATTTATCTGGGCCATTTGATCCAGTTCCTTATAGAGACAGAGGCCTCAAATTTACGCTCAAATGCATAACTAATGGAAGATCATCTAATAAAACTCTAAACAAGGTCAATTAATTTGGAAATCTGTTCTTTATGAAATCATCACATTAAGATTTGATTACAGAAAACATACCATGTGCAGCTAAATTCTTTGTACTTTATCAGGCCCAAAGCACTCAATCAGACCAAACCGAAGCTCTTTTGAAATTAATTATCAGAAGAGGCCCAAATGCATTTGGGGCCCTCTACAGATCAATTCTGGCAGAAGAGCTGTATGGTGATGCAGACATTTTGGAACCAGAAAAAGGACCACATTGGGCTTCACCCGGCTCTACACCAGAAAAGACTGCTGTGCAACAATTTGCAACAGATGATGAGTCAAAGCAAGCAAGGATTGTAAAAGGAGATCCATGAAATTAAATTGCCTGATAGTAAGTATCTCAAGTGCAGTCACTTTATTGTCCAGCATCTTTTACAAAAAGGAAATGAGTGAAACAATGTATGAGAAAACCTGAAAAAAAAGAAGGGCAAAAAAAAAAAAGAATGTGTGGGTAAGAAGTCTTCATCAGCGAACAAACGACAGTTTTGCTCATTTTCCTTTTGCTAACCTGGTTGCAGTCTCTCCCCCTTCCCTTATTACCAAATCTCTTTTACAGCCATTTAACATTTATGCCCTCTTGAAACATCCGCCCCCTTTTACCTGTGAGGCAACATGAGGAGGCACAGTACGCTGCTGGTTGCCTTTCAGTAGCGCAGTCAGTAGAGGCCCAGAAATTCTTAAAATGCATTGTCATATTTATTTTAAAAGAATGGCCATGTGATTGCAATCTGATAGATTAACAGACAGCGCCAAGCCTTACAGAGAGCAAGAACAATGTGGCCACATTATCATAAATGTTGATCAGACATTAAGTTTACTAGTTTTCAGTTTTCTAAAAAAGGAAATGATCAATAAATTTTGAAGAATGAATCGGATTAATGACAATGTGTAATTAATACTTTTATTATTCAAATTTATAATTAGCTGACTCAAATTCTTAAATTTTGTTATGGCGTTTAGAATTATTGCATTCAATTATTGATTTCAAGATTGATAGGGTTTTCTGTCTTCTTTAAGAGTACTTAAAAATAAGTAGTCTACTGAAACAAATAAAAAGTTTTAAAAAGTCTAAACAATTTATTTGAAGAAAAATATGCCTCTCTTGCTTTTGCAGAAGCAAAATCCTGAATTTTTTCTGACATATCCAACTCATCTGTAATTGTTTTTTTTCTATGGATATTGTTGCTAAACCAACCAAATGATCTAAAACATAATGGAAAGTTACATATATTTCTTCGAGTTTGACCTTCAAAAAGCATCTCACGGCAATGGCAAATGTTATTGGAAGCTTAGCTAAATTCTTATTAATCTTATTGGCACTTTTAACTTTTGGAAAAAAAGAGCAACCAGGCCCATTCAATATTGATCAGCTAATTTATCCCTAAAACTTGATTTCTCGGTTATTCTTCTTGATAGATCAAATTATTCATTTGGGGTGGCATACATATTCTTTACATTACAGGCGGCATTTTTGGCCCACTGCAGAGTTCAGGGTGTGTCAAAAAGATCATTCCAACATAGTGGAATACTCTAATAATAAACTAATCTCTGCTCCCTTGTGACTAATTCTCACCAAGGCTCCAGGAAGAAACGCCAAAAGAAAAATTAAAAATTCTGGAATGGAAGCATGTCCAGAAAGAGACATTCAGCAAGATTACACCATTTCTGCAAAACTATATATAAAATATAATTATCACTATGAGTCACAGTTATGGGAATAACACATTTTAGTAATTACACAGCAGCTTCCCTCAACAAATCTTTCAAATATCAACCTAAGATTACAAACAATATTTTTAATACATTGTTCTTAGAATAGGTTAATCCACATTTGCTAAACTTTGATGATTATTGTTTCATCAGACTAAGATGCGTACTAAATATCAACTCTTTATGTTGAAGAGCCTCCAGGGAGTCTCATAGATGCTGAAGCCTGTAACCAATTGGTGTTCAATGAAACTGATATTAAAGATGTATTTGTTTTTTTAAATGAACCTCATTTACATATTTACTCATTTTAATTTTAGCATGTCAATTTTAAAAATTTGTTTATATGTTTGACAGAAATGTTCATATATGTTTCACAATAATTAGTAGTTATGTGACAGCATCAGGTAACAATGTAACACTAAAGAGCAGGCAACACATGAGAATGAAAACAAAAAGAAACACATCAAGATGTCAATGTCTTGGTGAAAAGTTAATTATTTAAATACTAACTGAAGCTGAAATCGATAACCACATAGCTCTAGGAATTCGAGCAAATATTTACCTGAGGTTAAGACCCATAACCTTTTTAAGAATTTAAGAATACCCTACAGAAAAGGAGGCTCAAGAAAACTTGCTCACAAAAAAAAAATATATTAACCAAGTTGAAATAATAATTTTAAATTTATTTTTACATAATTCCCAAATCACAAGCTGTTACTTCAAGCTTGAATACATGGTTGGAGAATATTTTTTTTAAAAAATCACATTTTGAAATGGCTTATAATAATAACTTTGCAATTTCTCATGAGATCTGTTTTAAAATTAGTCCTAATTGACCATTGATGTATTAATTTCCTTGCTGAAGTAAATAAATTTTTTTTTAAAACTCATGGGTGTAAGTATCAAAAAAATATTTTTTTTCACATTTATCATTAAAATTTTCTCTTACAGTTTGTGATTTCTTCTGGTTATTTGTTTTTATTTGTCTAAATATTAAAGTGCATTTATCTCATAATATTATTTTACATTATTCATTATCAAAGTCCTTATTTGGAGATAAATAAGACAGAATGTTAAAACATTAGCCAACAGTTTTTTTTTTCTTTCTGAAACTGTTTTCTGTCTTACATGTTCTCTAAACCTGCATGTTAACTACTGTAAGAGTACAGTTAAATAACACATGGGTATCAAAAAATATTTCTAGGAGACTTTTGGATTTTTATTAAGAAATAAAAAATTTTCATTCCTATTAATTTATAATAATTCCTGACATCATCAATTGTAAACATCAAGATCTCTGTGCAGTCTTCTCAGTTTTTCCTTCTTGTTTCTGTTGTTGTGCCTCTTCCATGGTTTGCCTGCCACACTGTTGATGGATGTCTGACTTCCCATTTGTCCATCAGCTGATTCCTGTCCAGCCAATGATGGAGGTTTTAGTCCATGAACACCTTTAGCATGTATCTGGCTCTGTTTCTGCAAACCAGATCAAATCTTTCATGAAAAAACAATACATTTTTAAAGGATTTTGAATAATTTTTGTTTCAAGATAAAGTTTTGTCTGTCCACATAAGAAAAAGAAGATATTATCCATATTTCAGACCAATAAATATATAAATAGCTTCCAGAATATTTTTCCATTAAAGAACAACAACAAAAAAAGCTTTAAAAGACAAATTGTGATTGTCAGCTCAAAAATGTTAAATACCTTTTCAAAAAATTCTTTGTCTACATCACTTCGCATCTGCCTTGGTAGCTGCAAACATCACAAGATAATTTTAGATCACATGAACATTCTGTACATGCTAAAAAAAAGGGGGGGAAGACTTGCAACAAAAGAAATTACAAAATAATAGGGTTACTTCCTTATGTTTATGCATTTGATTGAATGTCAGTTACTGCAGTCTGCCCAGATGAGTTCAAACATTTTTTATCATCGGGACCAGGTCTAATATCCATTTTAGTAAATGGGTGCAGCATGACATCAATGTTCTCCTAAATTTTTATGGACACAGTTTTATAAATTTGAAGCCATTAAAATGAGTTTTCAAGTTTTATAAATTTGAAGCCCTTAAAACCAGTTTCCCTTGGTTAAAATGTCAAACAAAAGACTAATGACATTCTATTTTATTTAGTCCATAACATTAATGAATGAATGTCTTGAATATGATATTGATTATTGAAAATTAATTTACTGAAATGATGAGAAACTGCTTACAATTTTGCTATGCTTGAATTCTTCAACTCTGATTAGTCTCTCTTTATCCTGAAACTCTGAGCCTGATATGCCAGGAGGAGGTTCACAGTATAACAGCTTGCCCTAAATTCAAAGACAAACATAAATTAGGTCATGCTCACAAAGTATATCAAACGATTTAACTTTCTGATCTGAATTTAACGAGCCTGAACTAAAACCACTGTTTACCTGGTAGGCAAGATTTTTAAAACAAGCTGTCAGGTCATGATGAATGTAAAATGTATGATCACAGGCTAACCATGTTATATAATTTCTTTAACACAACTGTCGTCTACCTTAACATAGTCTTTGAGGATGTATCTTGAAGCCCTTGGCCCATCAGGTGTTCCTCTGGCTGTCATGAAACCCCTCATACCTGCAATACAAGTACATCACCGTAAACTCACTGGAGACGG